CTGATGTGGAATAAACACTGCCGTCTGGATTTAAAGTCTTTCTTTGTATAATGTGATAAATCTATGTGCAATGCCTGGTAACTGTGTTATTTCTATTGTTAAACTTTTATTAAATATTTATTGATAAAAAAGGCTTTATAATTTAAATTCCATGAATATACAACACACGCTGACTACAGATTCTTGTTAAATTTCTGAAATTTCTGTAGATCAATATGTAGTTCTAGATTTTGACAACAACAACATTCCAAACAATGAACAAGACTAATGACTTCTGCAAAGACATCTTAGATGATACTTTTACTTAGTTTTCCCTTATTTTGATTAAACAAAAATTAAATAGTATATACATACAGAATCCAGTCAATTGATATTTTTAAATGTCTGGTATATTATATTGTATAGACTTCATACAAACGAATTTTTGCTGATTTGTAAATTGTTATACAAATGTACCAGTTTACAGAGATTCCGGTCCGTTGAAATTTTGTGGCTATTTATAAAAATAGACCTAATTAGCATCTCTAATAACAACAATGTTTCCCGAAATTTTCTTGAAAAGATTACTCTCAATGGACAGATTCACGGTATAACTTTTATAAATGAAAAGTGAAATAGCCGATGTCAACTTAAATGCATTCGTTTTGCGCTAATATGAACAGATGATGATGTGGAGTAAAAGACAATGAGACAACGACACAACGACACAACAATTATGGAACTATCCCATCGAACTTGAGATAAAGGATACAAAAGATATGATACAGTTACAGCCTCATATCTTGATTTGCATCTAGAAATTGACAATGAGGCTCGGTTTATAAACACAACTTTACGACAAAATAGATGATTTCAGCTTCCCAATTGTGAACTTTCCATTTCTATGTAGCAACATTCCAGCATTGCCTGCATACGGAGTGTATATCTTCCAGTTGATACGATATTCAAGGGCTTGTATTTCCTATCATGATTTCCTTTATAGAGGGTTGCTGCTCACAACAAAGCTATCAAACCAAGAGTTCCAAGTGGTGAAGTTGAAATCATCCCTTCGCAAATTTTACGAACGCCATCACGAGTTGGTTGACCGTTATGGAATAAAATTGAGAATGGAAATAGGAAATGGGTCAAAGAGACAACAACCCGACCAAAGAGCAGAAAACAGCCCAAGGCCACCAATAGGTCTTTAACACAGCGAGAAAATCCCGCACCCGGAGGCGGGCTTCAGCTGGCCCCTTCAACAAAAATGTGTACTAGTTCAGTGAAAATGGACGTCACGCTAAACTCCGAATCATATAAATGAACTAAAATTAAAAAAACATACAAGATTAAAAGGCCAGAGGCTCCTGAATATCTGTTTCACAGATGACAACGGATATGTTCCAATTGTCGTAACTACAATCCCGTCCCCTTTTCCCCGAATGTGACCTACCGAATTAGGCTTATCACCGGGTTTGAACTAACATGGGCAACACGACGGATGCCAGATGTGGAGCAGGATCTGCTTACCCTTCCGGAGCACTGATATCACCCCAGTTTTTGCGGGAGTTCGTGTTGCTCAGGCTAGTTTTCTATGTTGTGTTTTGTGAACTGCTGTTTGTCTGTTTGTCTTTTTCTTTTTTAGCCGTGGCGTTGTCAGTTTATTTTCGACATATGAGTTTGAATGTCCCTTCGGTATCTTTCGCTTCTCTTTTATGATGTTTTCACTGATATATTCCAGTCTAGACATCCTTGTACTGTATTTATATACCTTATGCACGCTTGATTTTTTGTCATGCGCTTAGTAATAAAGTGGAATTTTCTTAATATCATCCTCTTACAAAACTTACAGAAGATTAGAAAATATAAATTGATTAAACCTTACATCTTATATTTATTATATCATTTCTCACACGCAACTCTATATGTCACAATGATTTGACTTATCTATTCATGTGGTATCACCATGACGTAGCACTTTTCAAGTGAAATGATAGTGCGTCACTCCATTTATGATCATTTATAGATTTGAAAAATAAAATGAAAATAAAACTTTAATAGTGATTTTTTTTGCGTCCGAAGCACTTTGTAGTTTTACTTACACGAGGAACGTTCTTATCCATTAAGATGGAAGATGACGTGAAGAGCTATATTGACCAAAAGTGAAAGGTTCACTTCGGTAACCATACCGTTCAGCTATCATGACATAGAATATCCTTCATAATGCATTGTGTAAGTTCCAAGGGAAGAAATAGTCTGTAATATTGTTTCAACTGGAACAAATATTACAGAATTTGTTCCCTACGGAATAAAGGGTATAAAATACTTGTTCCAAAAGAAACAGATATCATTTTATGGCATTGTTTATAACAACATTTCAAGGGTAACATATGTTAGGCAGAGCAAACATACGTTTACAAGCGATTTTACCTGTATATATACACCATTTGAAAAACCATCTGTCAAATTATGCAATTGAAATATACATACGAATGCATATTGTCTTATTTCCACAATCTATCGAGAATATAACTTATCAGTGCTTTTAGTTTTGTCTAGTGTTTGTAGGAATCTGTGTTATGAATTAAAACACCAATCATTACTTTTCCATTAGAAGCTTCGTCCGCTATAAACCAAGTATTATACATTACCCCGAGATCTGCCTTAATATTCAATTGAAAATATAGTGGCAAAAAATTACCTCTCTTACAGTTCGGAAATTGAATTCTTCATACCCCAAACTCCTATATGTTGATTATAAGTTCACAAAAAACATTCAAAATTCTGCAAAGATTAATATTTTTTAAAACACCAGTGTAATAGCAATTCTCTCGATACATAATGAAATAAGACAATATGCATTTTCATGTATATTTCAAATATTTAAAAAAATGAACGATTGTAATTTTTAGCCTTTATCATAAGAAGAGTTACTTTTCCGTATCGATTCGTTTCGCCAGTTCATACAGTCAATCTTCATAGTTAGTCAATCTGAGAATTACTACCTGAGGCGTTTATTCTTATCGAGTATAATTATTTGGGCCCCGCATTAAGGATGCGGTTGCCCTGTAGTTTTCACTGTGTCCGTCTGTCTGTTAACAATTTTTGTAAACGCAAAAACTACAAAAGTATAAGTAGGAGGCCAATAAAATTTTGCGCCCAGTGGTTGTGCATACTATGCAGATGTGCATATTATATTTTGGTGAAACTCAGTTCATTAATTTTGGAAAAAAAACTTATTTCTTATATACAAATCACAAATTTTATCATAAACATATGAAACTTCTTTCTATGCTAGGATTACAATGAAACTTTATAAATAGGTATAGTATACTATACCAAATTGATTTCATGTGTAAACTTTGCAATTAAAACTTGTATTGGGCCAAAATAGAATGGAATTTTATCTGTCAGGCACCATTTTTAAATTTGTGCCAAAGTATATAAATTCAAGGTTCTTGGATTTTGATATTGCAAGCTTATTATTTTTTTTTATCATTTTTTACTATATGCACTGTAACTTGGCTTTGTTAATTTGTTGCTTGCCATCCATTCATGTAAATAGAACAAAGTTGAAAGTGTGTGATGACTCTTGCCTGCATAGCTGGTTAAATGTATCTGAACCATGATACACAAATACCTTGTTAACCTTATTTTTCACGAATTTATTAATTTGTTTATTTTGGAAGTACATTTTTCTTCAACTTTTGTGGTTTATGAAAATGTCATTAGTTCATGGGATTTATAAATCACGATTTTTAGATTAATACATTTGATCTCAAAGGGAAATATGTATTTCGTGAGGTGCTTTACTTCATATCTGCTTCACAACAAATTCTAAGAAATATTGATAACCCACAAACATGCATTGCTTTGTTTGCATCAGTATAAATTATTTGCTTGTGTACCCCACATAAGTATACCAGCGGGGACCTTGCTGACGTGTCAGTTTTCTAGTTTTGAAACCATACAAAAATGAAATTATTCAGATTTCCTGAATCTATACATATAGTCTCCAACTTCAACTCCTAATAGCATGTATTGGCTACCTGGCGTTTTAGCATACTAGTATATCGACTCATTTTTTTTATCTATTAAGAAAAACTGCATTCTCTATTTTAAGTCCGCCCAACATGTAATTTTGATGGGAATATACCGTCTTTGTTTATTCTGGATTGGTCATTAGTTAGTGAGAAGTCTTTGGTATGGGTTCATATAGTTTTCTTCACTAGAATGTGTTTTATCCAATGATGAGATATTGAGATAACTCTGTTATTGTCCTTCTTTTGTAGATGATTTTGATTATGATTTTCAGCTGTAGAGTATAGTTTGTTCTAGTACTATTAAGATAATCGGAGTATGATTTCTTACTTAAAACTAGTTCAACATGGCCACATGATAATTTGTGTGCCGGTCGTGAATCTCAGGGCTTCTCAGCGGTTGCTATTGCTTCTTTCGTTTCTTGTCTATTAGGAAATTTGGTGCTGACGTCGAATCTTTGAAGTTCTTTTACTTTATTCAAATCATTGACAATCTATCTGGATTTGAGACGATTTAAAGGAAAGTCTCATATTTTTTACGGTTCCGTTGTTCAAGGTCGCGTATTGTCCTCTAAATATCCACTTCGATCTTTTCATGAAATTGAGCTGTTGAGTTGCTGTCTGAACAAAATTTTTCAACATCCTGAATACAGACTTATTATGACTAGTTAGTAGCCAATGCTTTGATATTAGCATGATTTCAATGATAAATCTTGTCTGTAAATTTCTAGTAAATACAATTTTGTAATTGATACAAAATGAAGGTTTTAACGTCATCTTGGCCAGTTTGGTCTGTAAGCTCTCAATCCGGATTTAATCCCGACATATGTGTAGTGGTCACGATAATCATTCATATAGGGTTTTTTCCGTTTTCTTTGTCTTTGCCCGGTGAGGCGGAATTGATTTATAAAGATGGTCAAAGATAAACAACCGAAACTTGTATTTCCTGCTTAATCACTTTTATTTTTTTATTTCCTGTCAAATCTTTGATAACTGTTTGCTATATATAGGATATGTTTAAACATGGACAGTAAACAGAATGTTATAATGATAAATATATTTCTTTTATGTAAGTTTTAATTTTATATACTTTGATTTAAAAAAAACATTTGCTAGATATTGCTTTATACATAGAACTATATTGTTCTTGATAGTGGTTTGTAACAGTTGTTATAGGTTGATATGTGTGAGTTTAGTGTAAAACAATATTTTACTAGTATTCAAAATAAATTACTAGAAAATGAATTTAATTGGATTGTGCAAAAGGCTTAACCACACAACAAGGTACACTATATTACATTCCGACGAGACCATTCTTACATTATGATACCACAGAATCAAAACTACCTCATAATTGACTGGTAGAATGCTTCAATTAAAACCTTTTTGGCGCGTTAAAGAGTCATAGATATAAAGTAAGATATGAGTGAGTGTTGCTTATGATGACAAATTAACAAAAATCCGTCATTCTTCCTCGAATATGGCTACCCACAATTGTAACTTATTAAATTATTATATGACATAGACAAAACGACGGACAAATATAGTGGCACAGGAACTACCAACCTTTCCGTTATTCCACTCCAGGTTAATGGTGTTCCTATTGCCCAAATCTTTAGTCATATGTATAGTGTTTTATAAACTTTGTATTTATCTTTTCATCTATTTTCGTTAGAAAATAATGTTCCCTGATTTTTTAAGACAAAGTACCCCTTGGTATCTTCCTGCTTCATTTACAATCTTATAATGAACATGCTAAGAAGTATACAAAGTATCCAGCAGAGTTTTTGCTTCATAATTTCTACAGTTTTTCAACAATAATTAATTTTTCAAAACAAAACAATGAATAATTATATCAACAGTGACAATACCCAATATAAAACTGATACAAGAAAATTATTTATGTATTATGCAGGTTTCCTTTGCTTTGGAAACATACTTTGCAACTATGTATGCAATAACCAGACAGAATGTAACTATAACGCTGGAAATGGCGTGTGTGATGTAAGTACAAAATATCCAGACATTATGTAACATCAAATCTGACAATGGCATATGTAAGGTTAGTACAAAATAACCAGACAGAATGTAACATAAAATCTGGCAATGGCTTATGTGATGTAAGTACAAATAATAAGACAAAATGCTACGGAAATCTGGCAATGGCATATGTGATGTAAATACAAAATAACCAGACAGAATGTAACATAAAATCTAGCAATTGCATATGTAATGTATGTACAAAATAACCAGACAGAATGTAACATAGAATCAGACAATGGCATATGTATTGTACGTACAAAATAACCAGACTAAATGTAACGTGAAATCTGGCAATAGCATATGTAATGTAAGTAAAAAATAACCAGACAGAATATAACGTGGAATCTGGGAGGTACTTATGAAATGTAAGTACAAAATAACCAGACAGTATTTAACGTAAAATCTGGCAAAGACATATGTATTGTAAGTAAAAAATAACAGAATGTAACGTAAAATCTGACAATGGCATATGTAATGTAAATACAAAATAACCAGACAGAATGGAACGTAAAATCTGGCAATGGCATATGTATTGTACGTACAAAATAACCAGACACAATGTAACGTGAAAGTACAAAATAACCAGACAGAATGTAACGCGAAATCTTGCAGTTACATATGTAATGTAAGTACAAAATAACCAGACAGAATTCAACGTAAAATCTGGCAATGATATGTTTTGTAAGAACAAAATAACAGAATGTAACGTAAAATCTGACAATGACATATTAAATGTAAGTACAAAATAACCAGACAGAATGCAACGTAAAATCTGGCAATGGCATATGTATTGTACTTACAAAATAACCAGACAGAATGCAACGTGAAAGTACAAAATAACCAGACAGAATGTAACGCGAAATCTTGCAGTTACATATGTAATGTAAGTACAAAATAACCAGACAGAATTCAACGTAAAATCTGGCAATGACATGTTTTGTAAGTACAAAATAACCGGACAGAATTCTAACGTGAAATCTGACAGAGATATATGTAATGTAAGTACAAAATAACCAAACATAATGTAACATAAAATCTGGCAATCATATATGTAAGGTTAGTACAAAATAAGCAGACATAATGTAACCTAAAATCTGGCAATGACATATGTAAGGTTAGTTCAAAATAACCAGACAGAATGTAACGTAAAATCTGGCAATGGCTTATATGATGTAAGTACAAAATAACAAGACAGAATCTAACGTAAAATCTAGCAATGGCATATGTAATGTAAGTACAAAATAACCAGACAGAATGTAACGTAAAATCTAGCAATGGCATGTGTAATGTAAGTACAAAATAACCAGACAGAATGTAACGTGAAAGTACAAAATAACCAGACAGAATGTAACGCGAAATCTTGCAGTTACATATGTAATGTAAGTACAAAATAACCAGACAGAATTTAATGTAAAATCTGGCAATGACATATGTTTTGTAAGTACAAAATAACAAGACGGAATGTTACATAAAATCTGGCAATGGTTTATTTATGGTTAGTACAAAAAAAAAACAGACAAAAAGTAAACTAAAATCTAGCAATGGCATATGTAATGCAAGTACACAATAACCAGACAGAAATTAACATGAAATCAGGCAGTGACTGATGTAATGTAAGTACAGAATATACAGGCAAAATACATCAATGACAAATTAAACCAGGTGGATAGTTGTCTTAATGGCATTCATACCACATGTTATTTTATAATGAGACAAATAACGATCTTGCTCATTGTTAAAGGCCAAATGGTGATACTAACATCTCCGTAATTTGGTATCTTGTGGATAGTGGCCTCATATGCAATCATACCACATCTCCTTATTTTATATATAACACATCTATAGGGTATCATTAACGTTAAAGCTGGCAATGAAATGTGTGATGATTGTACAAAATATATGTAGATTTAATGACATGTGCGATGCAAGTGCAAACTACTTTCATTAGACATATTAATGTATGCAGTTTCATATTGGTATGAATGCACTTTTTTGAACTAACATAATTAGTTTGCTATAGGTTGAACTTTCGTATCATATAAAATATCAAAATGTTAAATTTGGAAGAACGATTTACATACTTTTTTTGTATGCGTCTTTTACTTGGTAGTTAATTTAAACTGTTATAGGAGCATGCTCTTCTTCATTTCAGTCAAGCTGCAATAATCTGAACTGTAGTTACGACAGTGGTGATTGCGTAACAAATAACAACCCGTGGAGTAAATGTACTGAAGCAGCCAGATGTCAGTCTAGCTTTTATAATGATACATGTGATTCTTCATGTAACAATGAACTGTGTTTATACGACCAGCTAAAATGTAAGCCTTCTTTTACGACTGACTGTTTCGCTACCTGCTTGAATGAATGGGGTAATGGCAATTGTAATAGTTCCTGCAATAATGTAGAGTGTGGATATGACGGTAACGACTGTAATGTTGTCGGCAGTACTGTATCAGGTACCATGTTAGTTTATGCTAAGTCAGATATGCCACGACCAAGCGACACGGCAAGGTTCATCGGATTTAGCTTGAGTCTAGCGACACGGACTATTGTATCTATGAAGTTAAGTGTGAAATACAATGGAACAGTCCCAGAAATTGAATCTTTAGGCGATCCTGGGTAAGTACCGAACATTCATATATTCATACAAGATTGTAGCGTTCTGCATAGGAATCTCGTTTTATCCAATCTTATGTAAATTAAGGCGATAGCAGTTAACTATTGTTCAAATAATGGTTGGTGCCAGAAAAAACGATTTATAGATTTCATAATTCATAATATGTGAATAATATATTCATTTTGAAATGTAGGAAAAGTCTTAAAATTACTTCTAGTAATGAAAACCCCTTTGTCATCGTCCTCATGTTCTACAACACTTACAAATCATTCTATTTAAACTTACAATTTTTTTTGTATTTTGCAGACTACGAGTTTTATACCAAGTCCAGAACATACCAGACTGTAATACAGATAGCCATGCAGTATGTTGGAACAGTATGAATCAGCTGGCAATGTATTGTGCCGCTTTCAGCAAAGTCCTGAACAATTTTGTTCACTCTGTAGGTGTCAACGTGACCATAACAAAAGTTTTAGGTATATGCAATCTCTTAACTTTAAGTAAAATGTATTAAGATATGATGTTTATATTTTTCTTATCGAAATGAAGAGATATAAAAAAAAAATTAATACACAAAGTACAAGAGCAATTAGAAAATAGCCAGTTTTCATATGTTTATTGCGTACAATCATGTTTTTTTTTTGTTTCAGCTTGTCAAGATGGTTTCTATGGAGAGGACTGTAACCTGCCATGTAATATCAACTGTAAATCTGGTTGTTACCTTTTTGATGGATCGTGTATTGGTGGTTGTCTAGGCAACTTCAATGGCGATATGTGTCAGTTCCTGTGCAGTTCTAATTGTAGACTGGGTTGTTCCTCTGGTAGCCTATGTATAAGCGGTGAATGTAATGCGGGATATACTGGCGCTGAATGTACAACAGGTAGATTGATTATGTATAGTAAATTGAGTGCTATTTGGTTTTGTAAAAATGGGTAACAACAGATGTTCTTCACTCTGAAATTTTTTTTAAAAATCACTTATTATTTACAAAGGCAACAAAAAAAATAAACTGTTAACACAGAGATATGTCTCGCCTTTTTTGTAATTTTGATAATGCAAATGTTGAAAGTAAAATAGCAATACTTTAACTTGTAAGTTATGCAAATATTCAAAGTCAATGAACCATGACTGAAGGTACAAGGCTAAACAATCTCCATGGATATGAGTATGCCAATGCTAATACAATTGCATACCAAATACCATTGACTTATCATAAGTCATTCCCTTTAAACAAACTTAAACACAAACAGTAACTTGTAAACTATGTAAAAGTTTCAAAGTCAATGAACCATGATGACGGGGTGGGACTATATAATCTACATGGAAACGAGACTTGCAAATGCAAATACATTTGCATACCAAATATCATTGACTTAACATTAGCGGTTCATCTTCAACTGATCTAATCACAAACTAATACATGTAAACTAAGCCAAAGTTTGAAAGTCAATAGACCATGACTGAGGGGGCGGGGCCAAATATTCTCCATGGAAATGAAATGTCTTAATGCTTATACAACTGCATGCTAATTTTTATTGGCCTAGCACTAATGGTTCCCCTTAAACTGACCTAATCACAAACTAATACTTGTAAACTAAGCTAAAGTTTTAAAGTCAATAGACCATGACTGGGGGAACAAGGCCAATTAATCTTCTTGGAAATGAGAGGTGCCAATGCCAATACTACTGCATACCAAATATCATTGACCTACCACTAGTGGTTCACCATAAACTAGACATAATCACAAACTAATACATGCATTGTTGACGCCGCCGCCGCCGGAAACAGCATACCTATGTCTCACTTTTTGACTCGTCAAGGCGAGAAAAAAATCGGCAATAGAACATTTGTATAAATGTCCGCCACAGAGCTGACTTAAAATAGACACATTGAACGATGCGTATCATACGTGTGTGTGTCTTTCAATACTTCATACGGTCGAGCCCTCTGAAACAAATACAAAACAATACACATAAATACAAAAGTGTATGAAATTTAAAAGCAACAACTTGCGATTCCGAGCTTCGTTCAACCACCAAATGACAAATATAGATAATATTTGGCTTTTAAACTTTTTTTTTGAGTCGAGCGTCCCTGATGAATCTTTTGTCAACGAAACGCGCGTCTGGCGTGCAAAAAAATAAGCCTGGTTTCTATAATGAGTTTATAGATGAAAAGCACCAAACAAATTCTTGCGCAAATATATGCATTATTTAAAAAAAACTGATGTTCAATACTCAAAGGAACAGAGAACTTGTTTTTTTCAAGTACGTTCAACGGCGGACTAGATTTTTTTTACAGTAAAATATTTCCATTTATGCTTTCGAATTGTAGATTCTTGCATGAATAGTCTATGTGGGGACTCATGATGTATTCTCTTTTTTGACATCTGAATGAATGATCTATAGTCTGACACAACAGGAATTCCATAGCAAAATACACAAATAAACAAAATATTAAAACAGAAAACAAACATGTGCCCCTTTAATAGCAGACTTGTTCCTATACTGTAATGAATCACAGTTTATGGCCAAACTCAGTAAAGACCCGTCTAAATTCCATTTAATTGATAAATTCAACAACACTTACCGTTTCTTGATGATATTTTTTTGTTAAATAATCACGAATTCTCGAAATATACTGAAGAAATTTACCCAAAGGAACTTTCTTTAAATAAATCAAATCATGATTAACAGCAATAACTGTCCTTTCCTAGATTTGGACATTTCAGTTTTACACCAGAAACTCTGCACAAAAATTTACGACAAAAGGGACGGTTATTCTTTCCCTATTGTTTATTTCCTTTTTTTGGACGGTGATGTTCCTTTGGCACCGTCTTACGGTGTTTATATATCCCAACTCGTTCGCTATGACCGTGTCTGTAGTGATGAGCGTAATCTATGTATTACTATGTATTACTGGTATATTATTAAGTCAGGGATTTCGTTACCATAAATTACTTAAAACCTTTACTAAATTCTTCCATAGATGTGGATGTTTGGCTGTACCTGTAAAAAACTTATTTCAAACGAAAAAGCACTTCCTAATTTTTATTTCCCAGTTGATACGATATTCCAGGGCTTGTATTTCCTATCATGATTCCTTGATAGAGGATTGCTGCTCACAAGGAAGCTATTAAACCAAAAGTTCCAAGTGGTGAAGTTGAAATCATACCTTCGTAAACTTTACGGACGCCATCACGAGTTGGTTGACCGTTACGGAACATCTGTTTCACAGATGATAGCGGATATGTTCCTAATGTCGTAACTACAATCCCGTCCCCTTTTCCCGAATGTGACCTACCGAATTAGACTTATTACCGAGATTGTACTAACATGAGCAACACGACGGGTGCCACATGTGGAGCAGGATCTGCTTACCCTTCCGGAGCACCTGAGATCACCCCAGTTTTTGGTGGGGTTCGTGTTGCTAATTCTTACGTTTTCTATGTTGTGTTTTGTGTACTATTGTTTGTCTGTTTGTCTGTTTCTTTTTTAGCCATGGCGTTGCCAGTTTATTTTCGACTTATTAGTTTGAATGTCCCTTCGGTATCTTTCGCCTCTCTTTTACGATGATGTTGTTTACCCTTAGTTTTCCCCAATTGAATTGTTTCATATTTTCCATGTCGGCGCCTTTTATAGCCGAATATACGGTATGGGGTTTTCTCATTGTTGAAGGCCATACAGTTGCCTATAATTGCCTATATCCACTTCATTTGAACTTTGGTGGATAGTTGTCTCATTGGCAATCATACCACAGCTCCTTATTTTTATATCAACTATATTATTCCAAAAGGACCAGGGATTACCATGCCCTTTTGTCCTTAATTATTTAATGTTTTCCGTTTTAAGTGTAGTTTAATATCATTTGTTTGTTAAGATAACTCTTAATTCTTTGAGGGAAAAAAAAACCACTTACCTGTAGGATAATGTTGACAAGTTTTCTAAATGTCACTGCATTATGATGTCATTTTTATGTAAGGAAACACAATTACAGGAATATAAATAACATTTATCAAACATCGACTACTTGAATAAAAGTAACTTACAATGTTGAGTTCTTTGAGAACTTCTATAAAAAAGGTCAAAATTGTTTTTTATCTGTTTTTTATTTTACTTAGAATGTAGTAGTGGAACGCATGGATCTAACTGTGAAAGTAACTGTAGTTTAGGATGCTTGGATGGTAATTGTAATGTATTAGATGGATCATGTAACTGTAGAAGTGGATATAATGGTACTCAATGTGAAATAGGTAATTGCTACTTGTAACACCACTATATACGTAATCCCTCCTCTGGAAAACTAATGGGATATTGTAATAGACCAGCTGGGTAAATAGCAGAGACCGAGTAAGGTAATTGAGAATTTAAAAATCTAAACCTAGAGTATATATTTACCCACAATCGATGCAAATAAAAGACAATAAAAGGAGAATATATTTGTAGGGAAGATTAGACCATGGCTTTCGTAAATAGATAAATAATGTTGCGATTTATATGACATAAATTGGACAATTATAGATGACACATGATATAATCTCAGTGTGCATTTTTAAAACTGAATCACAAATTTTTATTTAAAAGTAGTGAGCATTTTTTTCAGCAAGTAAGTATTATTCTAAAATGTGATTTTTTTCTTCTTTATCTATTAACAGAATGTACAGATGACACTTATGGTTTTAACTGCAATGGAACTTGTGGGAACTGTTTGTATGGATCCGCCTGTGACAAAATGAATGGTTCCTGTCTTTATGGTTGCAATGCTGGGTACTATGGAATTTTGTGTACACACGGTATTGGTTATTAACTTAACACATCTCATATTTCATCGTTACGAAGTAACTAATTCGACTTTAATTTTGATTAATGAGTTAAAGTATTTGTAGACATTCTTTGTCACTAAAAGAAAAGTTCACAGTATAAAATTTATGGAAAAAAAGAGGAAACTTATAAAAGTTTCACTTGTACTCATAAAATAGAAGCTCTGCCCAGAACAGTCAGGATTCTGCTTCGTCAAAATCATCTCCCCATTACGCCTCTTAATTTTTTCAATCGCGAAAATGGAAGTCGTTGTAGAGATGACTCGCTGTCAATTTAGCTCTTGAAAACCGATAAATTTATCCACATAGCATCATTACCATTCTTAAATGACAGTTATATTTTAAAAGACAAATGTATCTACTAGCTATTTAGCATCATATCATGTACATTACGTCTTTTGTCAACTTAAATCTATTGTCTCATCGGTTGTCAGGGTTAATTTTCGAAAGTTTAAAAAAACATTAAAAAAATTCTAATTAAATATTTCATGGAAGGGCAGATGAAAAAATATTTGAGGTTGAAAACGAAATACCCTAGCTAATACACACGACAAAAGAGAATTTTTTGAAGATATGCATTTTTTAGATCCACTTGTAAAGTCTGTCGTCAAGGGCTTTTTGTTATTTTGTATTAAAAATTTGTTTTTCAAACACACCTTCTCTGTTGTTATGGCTCATTAGAAAGGTACTTCGCTTGACACATATATATTATTTTTGGTACTGTTAAATTAATAGTGTTGCTTTATACGTTTTCAAGACAAAACAGTCAACTCTAACACGCCGGAACATAAAAAGTTTACCCGACTTTCTCTTTTTGATGAGATTATTGTCTATTTTTAGGATTTAAAAAAAAAAAAAAACTGTTGCTGGGGTTAGAGATGTAAATCAATTCTTTAAAAAGATCAATCTTTTATCTTTCTGTGGAATTTTTTACGGCAGAATTTATGCTTATGCACAAAAAAAGATCCACAAGTATTTTCGCCTACCATAATCGACTGTTAAGAGAAAATTTGTCTTTAATTTAAAATTTCACAAATATCTCGAAGCTCCATACTATAAATTAAGTATAAACACGTATTAAAGATTCAAAACATCATAAATTAAGCACCTACATTAAACTTGTAAAGTCCAAAGAAACAGATGTAAACAATTCAAATATACCAACTTGGCCATTTTTACTTTATCTGATGACCCAAATGGTCAATTTGAGATGCTACAAACTGGAAATTTTGAAAAAAAATCTGATTAAATACATTAATTGGGATACTTTTAATCAGTGTTTGATGGATTACTTTTTGTGTTGCATATGTTTAAACCAAATCAAAGATGAGTGATTTTTTGTATTTTTCAACAAATTTACTTAATATTTTTGCTAATCCCCTCAAAATGCCTGCTTTTCACTGTAAACGCTATCAGTTATAACACCAGTTAAGCAATATAACAGACTCCTTGGAACCCCTTATTTAACTCGAAAATATATATTATTCGTAATTATGGAGTAAATCCATGATAACAAATTCTAAATTTAAGATGACGAATTTATTCCGTTATTCCGATAAATAAAAATCTGATTACAAATCACACAGATTCGTTAACACGAATTTAATTAATGAAAACGAATTATAATTCGTTATGACAAAATTTACAATTCGTCATAACGATTTTAATACATGATCATACGATTTTTTTATATACACGATCTCCAATTGAAATTATATTTTTGGGACTGTGGCTGAATCACACTATTTCTGAAATTAATCTGTGTCTACAAACCTGTTGAATCCGATTTTTGCTGCTTCAGATTATTTCAAATTAATGCTCACAGCAAATGTTGTATGTTTCAACACTACAATGCAAAACAGTATTGCGAAAACTATTTTCTTTTTGTATCTTTCAGTATGCCCTGAGGGAACACATGGTTCTGGTTGTTCCATGAACTGTACAAACTGCGTGAATAACACATGTCTCCCGACAACAGGAAACTGCAGAGCAGGGTGCGTAACTGGTTGGACGGGTGAAGACTGCTCAACGGGTATAACTTAAGTAATATGACAGAGACAATGTTAACTCGTGTCAACTAGGCATATATCATAACTCCTAAGGGACTAGTGCCTTCATTTGATGTATAATTTGCATTTTTATTAAACTTATTCTTTGATCTGATGTTTTGTAAGAAACTTGGTGTCAGTGACAATTTTGAATGATATTTCATTACACAATAATTTATGAATAAAAGTGTGGAATGTCCAAATATTAAAGTGGGTTGAGAACAAGTATTTAGTACAAAGAATTTTTCACGTCAACATAACAATTGTGTTCATGTAGCACAAAGGAAAATATCTATGATTTACAAACTAAATATATGGATATAAAAACTCATCAAGGTATGCAATTATTATTACATAGTGGTAAGAACTATATATATTATCATACAAGTATGAGGTATGGTGCCTTAAAACCCATTGACTGTACCTAGTCACGGTCACAAATATTACCAACGATGAACGTTGGAAGACTTTTGTCCAGAAATTTTTCAGAATAAACGGAAATTACTTTGATCGTTGTAATATGTCTTTACTTTACTATTCCCTTTAATTATTTATGATTTCAGCTATAACAACAATAATATATACAACCAACACTACAACACAAATTACCGTTGCCATCGGGGGTGTGCTAGCTGCCTTGTTTGGATGTGTCATTATTCTTTTTTTCTTCGTCTGGTAAGTGCATGTACCGTTATAAGTTGTCAATTATTTTAAACAAATACTTAACTGCAAACCACGCTCAATCCTATTCGTATTGCTTTTCTGCAAAAACGAAGAAATAAATGACACAGTTTGTGGAATTGTTTTTAGAAATTACAATAATAAACATTCATTAAAGAAGTAAAACTCAGCTCAGGATAGTATACGTGTTATCTGATATGAAGAAACATTGACAAAATATCTTCTTTATTTAAGCATAATCTTGTAGAGTATGACACGACCAGCAACTTTAAGTTGACTGAATTCTTTTTCACGCGAACTTATTGGTCCTTATTTGTGCGAACTGTCGATAGTTTATAATCCTTCCTGAAGCAATTTGAATCTTCTAAAACGACGGTACTTGTTGCTCAAACTTTAGTTTCTGTAAAATAGTAAAATAACAAAAATACCGAACTCCAAGGAAAATTCAAAATGGAAAGTCCCTTATCAATGGCAAAATCAAAAGCTCAAATCATGACATCAAACGAATGGAAAACAACTGTCATATTCCTGACTTCGTACAGACATTTCCTTATGTAGAAAATGGTGATCAAATCTGGTTTTATAGCTAGCTAAACCTCTCACTTGTATGACAGTCTAATGTTTTGTGTGCATTTTTTTGTCAATTCTTCTCATTCTCTGGCCATGACGTTGTCTGTTTTTTCGACAGATTATAATGGTTTTTTTTTAATTCCCCCCTGGGTATCATATCACCATAATCTGAAGTCAATGAAATAACCAGAATTGATGACATATATTAGTATGTAGACCTATAGTTATATTTGTAAACAAATAAGATAGCAGCATTTACAACACTTTTGGTTTGCAGGTTTGGATGGGGGTAGTATTTTTCGTGAAATAACATTTTCAAAATGTGTATCCCTTTTGCGTTCGGTTTTAGAGGTGTTTGCATTTTTTCTTGGCTACAGCTATATAATTGGGAAGTGTGATCTCTCTTACACTTGATGTCTACTAGTATTCAATTTTTATTTTTGAGTAAATTCTGAATGATTAGCTTAACTTTATTATTATACTGATATATTGTACAGGAGAAGAGGCAAGAAAGACAATTACCAATCTCATCTTGATACACAAATTATCATTGGCGAAGGAAAGAAAGCACATCATTCAGATACAGAAAGTCAACAATCTACCTCAGGTATACATGACTATTTGATCAAACAAAAAAGATGCTTCATATTAAACTTTAATGGAGCAGAAAAAGAACAAACAATCATGTAATACTATTTTTAAAGTATGCATGGGTTCCTCAGAGATATATAATTACATCATACTTATCAAAGTGAAAAGGGAGTTAGATAGTTATGATTATGTTGTTCTTTTGTCCAGTTGTAGGATATATAAGGAAATATGTGTTCTTTGAAATGAAAAAGCTTTAATAATCTACTTATCGTCAAGTTTTTTTTTTATCTCGTCTATACGATTCTTTTTTGCTTGAATTTATTTGCTTTATCTTTGTAGATGCTGGCGGAATTAATGAAGCTATAAATGAAACCGGGAACGAAGAAATAACTGAAATAGAATTATAATTAAGTGACTATGAATTTTAATTCAACATAAAAAAAGGAGAAGAAAAAAACCCACAAAAGAATAACAACACAAGTAAAAAAAAAAGATCATGACTATTTACAAAAATGAAATCACAAAACACAACAAAATTTCAACAAGTAGGACAAATGCAAAAGGAAGGATGATCAGAATATTCAACATGTTGAATGTGGGCAGCATATGGAAGAAGAAAAATGGAAACTTGGTTTTTACAGTGTTGTTTCTATTTTGTTTACCCTTGTATTTATATTTACATAATTTTTACTTTTCGAGAAAGTGTATTCTATTTACGGTATGTAATATCTACGACAAAAATGTTTTGTTGACGTCATTGTCAAATTTACCATCTACTACACCTTTTTGGTTGCGTCTTTGTTCAAATTAATTTGTATGTTTGTTTTAAATCATTTTTCAATTGTTTAGTCATTTGTGTTGTTTGTCCATGATGTATGTTTACACAGTTTTTGGCTGCTGGATCCCAATTATTGTCACAGTAACCTATTATGTCTGTTTGGATTGCTCAACCAAATTTTGTTAACATAACGAAACTATAAACAACTATTTAGCTACCTATAAAACCAGAGTTAGTGTGATTAACACATAAACCGATATTTTTTGGGAATTTGTCTGCAGGGATAATTTTCATGTACAGGTGTTTACTAACATATGTTAATCCATGAAAATATAGGTAGAATGGTAGGGGGGAGGGATTATAGACAATTAAGTTTTATGATGACTATTACTGAAGCTACGCCGAGAAGTAGAGATGAAAATATTCATCACATTCAAGCTGCAAGGGGATTTTGAAAGAATATCTATGCCATCAATATCAAGTTATTACAACAATAAGGTACCAGATCCCAGTTACAAATGATTGAGTTACCAAGTTGATTGAAATGCTCTTCCACAATGACATTTTCCTATGTGTTAGAAAAGGTTCTTCGGAAGGGTAAGCACGAAACGTGACATCATTCGTGTTGTATATGGTAGGTATACATTCGGTGTTAAGTCTCATTTGAGAAAAAGAACACGAAAAAATGACTACGACTGTTAGAACATATAAACGGACATCTGTGACACAAGTATTCCATAACGGCCAACCAACTCATGATGGCATCAAAAAACCTACGAAGGGATGACTGCAAAAATAATAATAGACACGACCTTTTTCATAAGTGTGTAACCGGCAACATACATGCAATATTATCGATACAAGATATTTTACTCACGGTCGTTAATATCATTGAATTAAATTTAATTACTACCACCAAAAATCTAAAGTTTTCGCATTAAGATAAATTATTAAAAACACTGTCGTAATGGTACTCTCACTAGATATATAAAAGTTAAATGCATTTTGTTTTTCAGAACGATAAAATCTGTTTTTGATTTTGATGAGCATTTTTTTCCGTTCTTGCAGAAAGTGAAAAAATTAACCAAGTTGTGTCAAATCTTTGAGATGCCCATCTCAAGTTACAACTGTATTCTTTCTACAGTAAAAGATGGCCTTCAGAAATATTGCGATGAGATATATTCAACCAGTGGTGTCAATCAGTAGTGGATTCTTAAAAAAATTATATCATAATCTCTGCAATGTTGCAGCAACATTAAGACCTTTGATTTTTCTACGCTTTACACTACTAATCCCCATGCTCAATTGAAAGATCGACTTCACCATCTCAATAAACAGAGCTTTTTCTATAAAAATTGGAATCGTATATATAAATGTCTTGTTTTTGGTTATAATAATTCTTATTTTGTGAACACTGATTCTATCAGAAAATACACTGAATATGATATTATTAAAATGCTAGACTTTTTGATCGACAATTTATTTGTTGAGTTTGGAGGATTAATATTTCAACAAACAGTCGGTATTCCAATGGGTACTAATTGTGCACCCCTACTGGCCGATTTGTTTTTGTACTCGTATGAAGTAGAATTCATTCAGAACCTTCTAAAAGACAAAAATAAAAAGAACCTTACAAAATTCTTATATTTTACTTTCAGATATATTGATGATGTCCTATCACTGAATAACCAATATTTCAGTCAGTACTTGCATCTCATATATCCCAGTGAACTTAAAATTAAGGATACTACTGATACTAGAAGGACTGCTTCATACCTTGATCTTTTCCTCAATATTGACACAAAAGGACGACTTCAGACTAAAATTTATGACAAACGGGATGATTCTAACTTCCCAATTATCAATTTACCATTTCTCAGCAGTAACATATCCTCTGCCCCGTTGTATGGTGTTTACATATCTCAATTGATACCTTATGCTCGTGCATGTTCACACTACACGAACTTCATATACAGGAGTGTGCTCCTTACGCAGAAACTGCTCCAACAGAGTTTTGAGGAGGAAAGATTGAAAATGACACTCCGTAAATTTTATGGACACCATCACGAATTGGTTCATCTATACGATATGTCTGTGTCTAAGCTAACTAACGACATTTTTACCACGTCTTAGATTGTGTTTTACCATCTACGTCATCTGGTCTGCTTAGTACCGAACGTGACCTATTCCCGAATATGACTGTTTTGTCGAGTGTGAATTCGCATTGCAACATTCATGTATTTAGTTATGATGTTTCGATATTTTGTTATGTCTTATGTTCGCTGTTGGAGACGACGTGGTTCGGTATTTATATATCCCGCTTTCGGGCATTTTCTTGTTACTTTCTTATTCATGTGGGTCCGGTGGGTCATTTTGTGCTTAGTTGTCTGTTTATTTCGTTTGTAGTTTGAATTCTGTGTTTTCGATACATTTCACATATGTCTTATTTGTCAGTATATTTGAGTTACTCGTGGTTTGTCTACAGAGTTTTTGTTATATGTTGTTTGTTTTCATGTGTGTTTACTGTTTGGTCTTACATGATGTTGCCTTATATTACAGTTATTTTATTTCTATTTTCTATATGCATGTAAAAGTTAAGATAAAGAAATCAGCTACTTCATTTATATGATTTTAAGTTTAAAGCAAATGCACAAGATTTTTTTTGTTTATACACAGTTTTGATTTAGAAGAAAAACCGACATGTTTAGAAAATACAAATAATAACACCATTACAAACACATTTCCATTTTGATATTCTTGTCATGGTTAGAAAATACATAAAATAACACCATTACAAACCCAATCCCAATTTAATATTGTTGTACGTGTCTATAAAGAAAAAAAATAAATTTATTTTTAGAAATTTACCTCGAGAAATTTAGCTGTGATAATATAAACGTCACAAAAATACGTCACTTTTTGTGAAGTTGATCCATTTATGTGACGTGCAGTTTATATTTCATTTGTTGTGTCCTAATGTGCTGTCGAAAATTCATCGGAGGTGTCCGTTGTTATTCTGCGGTTTACATGTTGTAATGTACTATTATATTATTTATTTATGTATTTCTCTGTGCTGAGTGTTCTTGCGTTTGTTTGTACTGTATTCCTGTCACGTAGTGTAGTCATTTCAGATGTATTTTTAACATTGCGATATGAGCGGGATGTTTGGCTAGCCATAAAACCATGTTCAGCCTTCCATTTTTTCGTAAAATGTCCTGTACCAAGTCAGGAATATGGCAGTTGTTATCTACAGTCCGTTTCTATGTATGTTGGCGTTTGCTTTTGTTGTAGTTCAGTGTTTCTGTTGTTCCATTGTTTTCCTCTTATAGTTGATATGTTTCCCTCGGTTTTAGTTTGTTACCCGGATTTGATTTTGCTTTATCGAATTATGACTGTAGAATAGCGGTATACTGCCTGTTGCCTTTATTGTATTGCATTGATTGACATGGACAATAGAAAGACAACAAGATATCTACACAACAATAGACGAGTTAAAGGGTGTAACTGAGTTGACAGTATCATATGTAATCAATTGTTTGTTTATTTACACAAACAACAGGAACGAAACAAAATGCCCATCAAGATAGATTTTATCTTTCTGAAACGCAAAATGCTTAAATCTATCTAATGGATGCCTTGAAACTGTATAGGTTAGTATGTACTCAAGTAGTTTTTGAGGTGTAAACAAGCCATTTTGTCCATTTGTTATGATGAACCTTAAGGTCGGTTCATTCTATGTTCAGACCATTCAGTGGTTGTTATTTACCTGTACAAATCAACGACATACTAAGTTATCTGAAATATTACTGAACAGTCATGAATTAACTGCAAACAAACTGTCTGATCAGCACTGGATTTACCGCAGAGGATAAGACTGAAAGTTGACTTAAAGACTGAACGTGACTGAATAATTTATTGTTCAGACTTTTTAGATGATGTTAGATCAAAACTACCGTTAAAGACCGAGATTCATTTACTAGTGGTTGGAAGAGAATAATCTTCGCAACTTGAAAATATCTGAGAAACAATTGCGCTATTCTTGAGACTGAAAAAACATTTCATAGTTGCAAAGTAATTACCTTTTATCTGCATTAAACAATCAGTGTTATGTAAATTATCTAAGGAGGAAATAGGCCAGATCTGTAGTATTGACGTTAACAAATTCTATAATATCAACGTTAACAAATGCTATAGTATATACGTTAACAAATTCCAAGCGAAGGACAATATTGAACAGTAAATAAATCTTTCAAAATTACGTATGTAACTGGTACATTAATTTGGTTTTAGGCGTTGAGTTGAAATTGAAGTGTTCAGACATCATCTTAGGTATAAATCCGTTTTACTATCATTATTGTGTAAAGATACGATAGATTAATATTCATCAATTTTAAAACTAAATATTAACTATTTTTTTTTCAAAAACTCGAAGCCAGTACTTTAGACGCGTGTTCTATCCTAATAAAGGAAATAACTAGTTACCACATTTCCATCTATGATTTAATGTATAGGAAAAAGTAAAGGGTTTGTAAATGTTTATCAAATCTCAAGTATGCATGACTTAGTACATTTCCGAATTTGAAATCACTTCCTATATAGGGAAGGGTTTACTCATCATCAACATGGCGTTACATATCAAATTGTATGTTTATGTATCGTTATTCATACTTCTTCAAAGTAAGTTTTTATCTTCAATGAAATAATATTGTACTCTCTAGAGAAAAGATTACCAATTCAAATGTTACCATCAAATTATTCGACAAACGTTTTATTGAAGTGTACGCCAATTCTCCCTTTCATGCATTATTATTCTTATTCCATATTTGATCAAAGCAGTAAGTTGTTCGGCAGACAGTTCCTGTAAGTGTCCTTATCCAACATATTGTCATGGTGGAAGCTGTATGTGCAGAGATGGGTTCAATACAACAAACTGTACTCAATCTCCTGACATGTGCTGTAAGTTATCTATATATGTATTACTATATGCTATGCTTTTCATCGCTTTCTTCTAATAGAGATATGCATGACTGTCAATGAGAAAACTCTCACCAGAGAACAAATCACGTGGATGTAAGAAAGTATAAGTCGGCGCAATATAAAACAATTAAAAAAAAACCAATACGGTATAGTAAGTTATATAAGGTACCAACACGACAAAACGTAAAACAGGTCAATCGAGAAATCCAACAACCTGATTGATGATTAAACAAAAAAACGAAAAACAAATACTACAGAGAATAATAACCCACTGAATTACAGGCTCCTGATTTATGACAGGCTCATAAAGATTCTAAGAGCATTTTGATATTTTTCTCTTACTATTGCTTGCAGACTGTTCTAGTGGAGAAGAATGTATGTACGGCGGAAACTGTACGTGCGCACAAGACGTCCAATTTTCCTGTATAATGCTTCCATCATGTGACAGCAATGTTAATATTTCATGTAAATATAACGGAACGTGTGTAATAAAGGAAAATCAACCATACTGTATATGTCCATCTAATATAACAGACTGTACTCCAAACCGATGTGATGAACAGCCGTGTCCTGTTGGTGAATGCATACCCAGAGAAAACAATGAATATGATTGCAATTGTCCGAACGGAGGTGTTGGTAAAGATTGCAAACTGAACATACACTGCACAGAAGGGTGAGTACATTCGATTTTAATGCTTTTTGTGAAATATTTTTACACAGGTCTGTCTTGCTTATTTTGTTTTTCTTCGTCAGTCACCATATTGCAGTATTGGTAGGACAACATAACAAATTTTACGGGTAATTGATCGACTTCTCCCTCACAGTTTACATCAAAGACTAATGCAGTGGTTATCGATTTTTATTATAAAATACCACTTAGATCGACAATAGGTCGACTCGATATTATCGTAGGGTATGCAATGTACAGTTAATAGTTATGAACCATTCAGTTACTACTAGTATCAAGATGAAGAACATCAATTAAAGTTTGTGTTATAAGCTTCAGTAAATGACATATATCCTGTGAGTATGTAGATGATTTTTGTTTTAGGTTTTGTACAAATGGTGGAACCTGTTTTGAATTCAAGTATGCTAGATGTAGATGTATGCCAGGTTACTCTGGCCCACGGTGTGAGAACAATTACATGTTAAGCGAGTGTGATAAATTTGCAACAAGAAATGAAACCCTTAATCCCAACACGAATAAAACAGAATGCATATGCAAGCCAAATTTTAAAGGTGATTGTAAATCTATGGATATAAACGCCGATAAAAAAAGCTCTGTGTTATACCTTTAATTTGACTGATGTTTTTTTCTGTAATATTTATATTAAAAAAATGTCCTTTTTCAGATAAATATGCAAGTTAAAACTACGCTAAGAATACGATAATTGAAAATATATCACTATTAGACGCTTTTTATAAAATTCAGTAACACAAACCACATTTAAAACTGTGGGTGAAACTCTGAAATTATTCGCAAAAGAGAAAAGAAGGATGTTTTGCTAGTGCAATAAACTGAACATATTTTTTCTAACCTTTGATAAACATATTGTAGAATTTAAGAAACGTTGTGATTTAAATTTGAATTTAAGCGCTGTTTTTCTTTTAGGTTTATGTTTGACGTGAAGATCTGTTTTGAAATGCATTGATACTCTCTATCCTTCCCTTAAACTTGAATAACTTTTCTTAGTAACCTTCATCAGAAATGGATATGTAGAGATGCGTATCAAATCACAAACGAAGAAATCGTCCAATTGAACCTTTTTTACCTGGGGATTGGAAACTTAGTTTCCATAACATGATTAATGATGTCAATTACTATGATGTGTTTATAACCTTTAACATGTCAAATATAAATTTTCATGATTTATAATTTAGGAAAGACTTGCAGTTTATTGGACTGTACAAAACAGAATGAATGTGTAAATGGTCTGTGCTATTCTGATCCTTCGGCAGCTTTAAGATCTAAGTGTGTCTGTCCATCAGGAATGACTGGTACCTACTGTAATCATGATATTGATGAATGTGAAGAAACACCTTGTTCTAATAACGGGAATTGCACCAATTTGAAAGGTCAGAATTTTAATTACTAGTACGTATCTACAAGTTTTAATTATAATTTCCCAATTTTTGTTTTTATGCCAGGCATGAATGATGCACTGTCCTTAAATTTAAATATAACTTCCCCCTACCGGTACCATTGGTTTGCATTTAAGTTTATACATAAGAAAGAAATGAAAATTATTTCCCCGTTGTTGTCCTAATGTTAAATAAAACATCTGAGTCGTATGGTGTTCAATCCTCACAGAACATCCCCTATTGAATATCAATACAATGAAGTTCTTTAATAAGTGCACCAATAACTAACAATTTAAATTAATACTTGCTTTGTGTTTCAAATTTTATTACTACCATTATTGTATTTTGATACAGTACACTATATCAACTTAGCAATAGTTTGGTTTTAATAAATACTGTTTCTAACGAATGAGTGTAGTTTGTCATTTTTGGAATCGCGAAATGGTAAATTGATAATTGGTAAACATTTTTCATTGTAACTTTGCATAGATGCAGAGTGCCGAGAGATGTGATGCAATATGTTATATGACATTGATTGCTTCGTCGTCTTCGTCCCATTATTTCTCTCTTCTTCAAATTTAAACATAAACTTTTTAAATGTTATGTTTCTATTGATCAGTAAGCATTTGTACGATGTGTGCATGGCAGACCGAGTTTTACCATGTTGTTCTAATGTAAATATGTTCACTCTTTTATTGTTTGTTAAATTGTTGTACTAACACACCCCATGTTGGGGCCGTTTCCCCATAAAGTTGTTAATTTGAAAGTAGAAATCCAAATTACAAAAACGCCTTTCTCGTTCCCGTTTGTTTTTTTTTCTTTTCTGGACGGTGATGTCCCTTGGTCACCATCTTACGGTGTTTTTATATCCCAACTCGTTCGCTATGCTCGTGTCGTTTTGGATTTCAATGAACGTTATCTATTTTATAATTGTTAATTACTAAGTCAATGATTTCGTTACCACAAATTACTTAAGACCTTTACTTAACTCTTTCATAGACACAAAGATTTAGCTTTGACGTTTGACTGTACCTGTAGAAAACGTATTACAGTCAAAAGGAATATCACATCCAAGTTTTTACATTGATGTTGTTTATCTAGACCCGGGTAAACTTACCGATTCTTTAAATAAACTTATTCTAAAAGGTTACCAATTAGACACTGTTATCAGATTTTTTAATATTGTTTTCATCGGTATAAATATTGATTTTTTTTATTAATAGATTAAAACCCAACTAAATATTATTGTTATACACTTCTGTAAATTCACGGTCATACAATCTGTCTGTACCTTTATTTTGGCATTGCACAAGGCCATGTTTTTTCTCTGACTGTTAATGACGTCTTTACGCCAAATGCACTGAAAATTTGATATGAATTGATTGCTATTTAAGTCTTTGATACATTTTTCTTTTAATTCTTTGAACTAGCTTTTGTGTGACTGCGAATACTCTATGATCTGTACTTTGTGTCTTTTGTGTTTTTGTTAGTTGTTCTTGTGCCTTGACATCATGACAGCCTTAGGGAGAATAATACCATTGGGATCAAACTTCAGTTTTTGACTAATATCTTGAAAATTATAGCAGTAAGAGAAAAAATAACAAGATGAAAATGGTCAGCACAAAAAAGCGTTGTCTACCCTAGAAATGTAAGAACAATGTTTCAACCTGTTTTGGAGTTATTGCCCCTAAATGCTGATTTTTAACTTTTTGGCAGTTATTTGCTATTGTTTTGAAAGCTATAGGAGCCAAGTTAAAATGGAATTGCAAAAATTATCAAAATGGCAAGTTCAATCTACCAATGAAAAATTTAAGACATTAAGTCATAAGACGTTTTATTTCACTAACGCCCCAACATGGGGTATGTTAGTACAACAATTTAACAAACAATAAAAGTGTGAACATATTTACATTAGAACAACATGGTAAACAAATGTGCAATAATAGTATATATGATGAACATTGATATGTGACAGGAAGTAAAAGTTATAGTAACTTGATTAAGTACATGTATTAAAAGGTTTTAATAACACTTTTACAAAATTTAGCTTTTCCAGTAAGTGTAAATAAATTTGATGTATTCATCAGTTCTTTAAATATATAACATTCGGGTTATTACATATAATTATGGGTAAAAATTTAGCTCTTACATTGTTGAAAAAGGTACATTTGAATAAGTAATGAAACTCATCACCAAGTTCATTAGCATTACAGAGATTATAATGTCTTTCAGTTCTATCATTATTAAAAAAATCTGCCAGTTTCAATGGGCAATTTATTATTAAGGCAACGGAATTTACATAAATACATTCTTAGATCAGATGGTGACACTGATAGATATTTCTCAAAACAAAAATCAGATTTGTATATTCTATAATTGAGACATTTTGCAGAATTTATAACATTATTACTCCAGTTCAGCATAAATTTATCACTCAAACATTTCTTAACATTCTTACTAATATTATCAGATTTAGCAATTATTTGATCATCCCACATCAAATTAAATCCACATTTATAAAAAGTATTTTTAATTTCTAACAACCATTTAGAGTGGTAGAAACCCCTTTTACTAAGCTGATACAATATAGAATACAGTGTATATGACTTTTTTCTCTCTTTTACCACATATGATACGTTGCCAGAAACCATCCATTCTATCTTTAATAAGAATATGTAATGGTATTCTATTCAATTCTCCATAAATCATGCAATGAGAAGTACTTTTTAAACCTTCAAAATTGTTTTACAAAATTGCATATATTTAAGAAAACAAATCTTTAGATCCTATATGGAGTGATTGCCCCTGAAATGTAAGTGTTTTATCAATTTTCACATTTTCGATTGATATCTCTAATACAATTGGAGCTAGGTTAAAAGTGTTAGTTCAAAAATGATAAGCATGACAAATTAAGATCTAATTACTTAAAAGACAACTGTCAACCTGTTTTGGAGTTATCGCTCCTGAATATTACATTTTTCCAAATTTTGAAGTTTTTTGCTCAACATTACTTTGAAAACTATATGAACTAGGTTGAAAAAGTATAAATCGTAAAAAATGATCAGAATAACAAGGTCTATGTAATCTGAAAATTTAAGAAAATTTTACGAACTGTTTTGTAGTTGTTGCTCCAGAAATTTTTTATTTTACTGCTTTTTGAAAACAATAGGAGCTAGGTTAAACGTGCAAACTGCAAAACTGATCAGCAACAAAACAGGCATAGGTGTGCCACTGGTTTTTATAGACACATAAAACATGGCAATATTTATAAAAAAAAAATACAGTCTTTTAAGGTAAAACAATAGTAATCGGTATTCAAGAAAAGTTTATTGTATTGACTGAAGTGTTTGGAACTAGACACAGCAAAATAGTTTTTGTGATAAATTTTGTAGGAACCTTTGAATGTCACTGTCCAGACAATTCAACTGGAAAATATTGTGACAATAAGCTAAGTGGTTGTCTGAATCCTGAAAAATGTTTAGAGGTGGCTCAAGATGGAACATGTGATGTATGTATGAAACGCATTGTGAAAAAAGCATACCGTTAAATCTTAGAATTCAATTAGCTACTAAGATAAATGTGGTAAAATATTTCTTAAAACTTTTTTCTTTATTTACTTATTCGAAAAAGGATATGCGGCGGAAGTACCCAAGACAAAATTTTAAAGACAAACTTGGAAATATTTATATTCCAAATGAAATTCGATGAGGTGAAGAATACGAAATGTTCGAAAAGATCAATGTGGTCCCTCGCATTAACGCATACTCACCGAAAACGTTACAGATACGTTTATTTATAGATGCATATATGGTAGTTATCAATTAATTATAATACCTACAATGTAATAAATCCTTTCAACAAATACTGTTATTCGTCGCGGAACGACGCAAGAATTACAAGTCATAGTCACATCTTTACATAGACTTTACATCAAACACATTAATACTAAGAAAAATTTGAAGATGTACTCTCCCATTAATACAGGGAAAAGATCAAATATTTTTGCATAAATTACACTAAATTACAAAAAAAAAAGAACATTATCAACACATTCTTGAATGAAGTGCTCAAGTTCCGCGCTTGCTTCGGTCAATGCTTTTACACTCCAATAAAATTACAAAAAGAGGCATTCAAATCGCATTAGTGCATTTTTATGCTATAACCATGATACTAGGAGTTAAATCAAGCATTTTGTTTGTGTTATAATGAATTGTTGTAACTTTGTCATGAATAACACGCATAGTCAAAGATACTTTATTGTGAAATAAAACAAAATTTGACAATACCCCTTGATTGGTTCCTGTCTATCGAAATTATACAATTTTATGAAAATCTGTTTAATGTACTCAGGAAAAGGAATTCAACGTTAGGTCATACAAATGCGAAAATGGTGTAACATTATTCTTTTAATGCCATTATTCTAAACTTGTCTTCTAACAATGCAAGCCGTTTTCCATTAGACTGATTTCTCGGTATTTATACATCCAACATTCATGTATTTAGTTACAATGTTTCTTTTGTAAGTCTGGTTAGATATTGTGTTATGTCTTATCGTTTGTGGTTTGAATTATGTATTTTCGGTACGTTTCACATATGTCTTATTTGTCAGTATAATCGAGTTACTTGTGGTTCGTCTACAGTGTTTTTGTTTTATGTTGTTTGTTTTCACGTGTGTTTACTGTTTGGTCTTACATGATCTTGCCTCATATTACAGTTATTTTATTTTTATTTTCTATATAAAATTGAGAATGGAAATGGGGAATGTGTCAAAGAGACAACAACCCGACCATAGAACAGACAACAGCAGAAGGTCACCAACAGGTCTTCAATGCAGCGAGAAATTCCCGCACCCGGAGGCGTCCTTCAGCTGGCCCCTAAACAAATATATATATACTAGTTCAGTGATAATGAACGCCATACTAAACTCCAAATTGTACACAAGAAACTAAAATTAAAAATAATACAAGACTAACAAAGGCTAGAGGCTCCTGACTTGGGACAGGCACAAAAATGCGGCGGGGTTAAACATGTTTATGAGATCTCAACCCTCCCCCTATACCTCTAGCCAATGTAGAAAAGTAAACGCATAACAATACGTACATTAAAATTCAGTTCAAGAGAAGTCCGAGTCTGATGTCAGAAGATGTAACCAAAGAAAATAAACAAAATGACAATAATACATAAATAACAACAGACTACTAGCAGTTAACTGACATGCCAGCTCCAGACTTCAATTAAACTGATTGAAAGATTATGTCTTCATCATATGAATATCAGGCACAATCCTTCCCGTTAGGGGTTTAGTATCATACCATCATAACATATATGAGAAGAACATAGCCCGTGTCATGCCAACAACTGGTTTTTAAATAAATGTGTTTAGTGCCGATGCAAAGACCCTATAAGTGAATCAATATTAACGCCAAAATATGCAATCTTTAATGACCTGACAACAGTATCGTAACTATATCCCTTCTTAATAAGTCTATTTAAAGGTTTTGTTAGCTTCAGAGGTGAATACTGACATTTTTGTGCTTTATAAAGAATATTTCCATAAAAAATTGGATGTGAAATATATGTAAAAGTTAAGATAATTAACCAGCTATTTCATTTATATGATTTTTAGTTTAAAGCAAATATATGCACAGGATGTTTTTGTTTATACACAGTTTTGATTTTGAAGAAAAACCGATATGGTTAGAAAATACAAATAATAACACAATTACAAACACAATTCCATTTTAATATTCTTGTCATGATTAGAAAATACATAAAATAACACCATTACAAACTCAATCTTATATTCTTGTACGTGTCTACATTAAAACAAATCTATTCTATTTTTAGAAATTTACCTGTGATAATATAAACGTCACAAAAAATACGTCACTTTTTGTGGCGTTGATACATTCGTGTGACACACAGTTTATAATATGTTTGTGGTGTCCTGGTGTGCTGTCATAGATTCATGGGAAGAATCCGTTGTTATTCTGTAGTTTACATGTTGTAATTATATTATTAATTTATATGTTTCTCTGTCTTGAGTGTTCTTACGTTTATTTGTACTGTATTCCTGTCACGTAATGTTGTCATTTTAGCGATATTTTTAACATTGTTATATAAGCGGGAGGTTTGGATAGCCATAAAACCAGGTTCAACCCACAATTTTTCTTAAAATGTCCTGTACCAAGTCAGGAATATGGCAGTTGTTATCAAATAGTCCGTTTTTATGTATGTTGGTGTTTATTTTTGTTGCAGTTCAGTGTTTCTGTTGTTCCGTTGTTTTCCTCTGATAGTTGATGTGTTTCCCATGGTTTTGGTTTGTGACCCGGATTTGTTTTCGCTTAATCGATTTATGACTATTGAACAGCGGTATACTACTGTTGCCTTTATTTGCCAGTGTTCCTTAAGAAAAAAGAGGCAGAAGATACCAAAGGGGAAATTGATAAAATTTTAGTTGACGAAAAACGACAATTACTATAATAGTCAAAAAGAAAAACGACAAAGAGACAAATAATAATCTACAAAACACTACCCGGAAAGCTAAACATTACATTACACTGACGTGTAATGAGAATATGGTGTCTACAGCGATTGAAAATATTGCGAAAATGTACTTTTGTTTTGTTTTGTTTAATCGAGCATTTTTTTCATTCTAAAGACGAAGACGATTTATTGCATTTTCTTGACAAAATCCTATAAGTTTCAAAGAAAATGATTTATTAAAAATAGAAAATGTTAATATAAAAGTAAAGATGAAATGCGTCTAACAACAGTTTTAATATTTTGAAAAGCAAATACCAATGTCATCATGTGTGATAAAGAAAGAACAACAAGAATTTTACGTACTATCTGTGTATGGATATTTTTGCCGGGGTGTTTAAAACATTGAGCTTGCTTTATTACAATGCTTGAACAAATTAAAAAAAATCTAATAACATCGACATTGATTATAGGCTAACTGTAATGTTTTGGCTTGTAAATATGATGGCGGCGATTGTATCTTGAGCACAGATCCCTGGGACAGCTGCACAGAAGAAAAAGGATATTGCAGGTCATTGTCAGGCAATGGACAATGTGACCAAACGTGTAACAATGAAGCTTGTCTATTTGACTTATCAGACTGTAACAAAATGGACAACACGTCTTGTCCGGATAGTTGCACTGAAGTATGGGGCGATGAACAATGTCACCCTCAGTGTAATTCACGTGTATGTGGTTATGATGGTTCCGATTGTATTGGGACAGAATCTTCATCAATAGGAACAATGGTGGTGAATTACATTTCAAGATCAGCGGAGGGATACAGTTCAGTTGGACGTTTATTGAGCAGCTACAGTGGCGCATATTTCATGTTTAAAGCACAGACCAATCCAATTGTAAAGCTAAATACAGAACCATTTAAACTAATGTCTACTTCTGATAGGCAATCAAAGTATGTTTTATGAATTAGACACTTAGATGAATATATCATAAATTCGTTTCGAAACTTTCCTATTTTTTTCTGCAGTCACTGTGAAAAAATTTAAGAAATACTTTTCAATATATTTTATAGAGTGATCGTGTTTTTTCTCAATCAACTAGCAACATATCACTTTATAATGACATTTCTTTTAAGTTTGAGGTTGTAACTGTGACACAACTTAAGATCATTAATTTCTTTGTATTCTTTAGGTATACAGCCTTTTATGCTGTTAGCAATTCAGTGAATTGCACAAAATCTGATGGGTGTTGGAATGACACTGAATCATTGTCCAGATTTTCTGCAGTGATCTATATGAAGAATGAAATGATCTTTCATCATAATATGATACCAATTACGATAAAAAATATAAAAGGTAAGTCAGATAATAGTTTTAAACATATTTCTCTGAATTTTAAATGTGTACAAAGAGCATTGTAAATAGTTATAAAACGAAAAAAAAATTCTGCTTTATTTGCTGCAAAGTTAAAGCGTTCCATATTTAGTGATATGTGGCATAAGCTCTGTCCATTTATTTCTTTTGAATTTGTAAGTAATTATCCTCTCAAATGTATACTCAAAATACTTTTAGGTTCACTGCAAAAAGTTTTAAAGGCCAATAATTTTAAGTTAGAACTTAAGTTATTGCGTAAATTAAAAAACAACATAGTTGATTAAGAGCAGAATAACCGTTTGGTAATATTTCAGCATGTTCGGTTGGTTACTATGGTGAAAATTGTGACCATCCTTGTCCTACGCATTGTAACAAAACTTTAGAGTGTAACATGGCTACTGGTGCATGTCTAACCGGTTGTGTTGAAGGCTACTGGGGATCAAAGTGTACATTTCCGTGTAGTGAGCACTGCGATAAAGGAGGATGTGATGCTATTGATGGGAACTGTACAGATGGCTGTAAAAAAGGATATGTAGGAGCACGATGTGATCAGAGTTAGTTTTTCTGTTAATGCATTGACTTTTGGTGTAATTAATTATTCATTACCGTTCATATTAGTTCATGTTGAAATACGGATATTGACGTTACTTTGATATATCTGATTTCAATTAACGTCATAAATTAATTATTCAAAAACTTTTACAACAGGAATACACATATAATAATAACATAAACGATAGAATCAAACTGCACTAGATGCGCATTTCGACAAAATAAATGTCTCTTCACTGATGCTCGAGGCCAAAATATTTGAAAATCCAAAAATACTTATATGCTTTTTCTCCGCTTCAAAACTGCCCCGTGTCAAACATACCCAACGTGTCGTTCTACGCTTTGATATAGACATTTATTTTGGAAGTTACGAGTAAATCCAGAAAAGTTCTTTGCATGAGTGATATTTTTAAAGTGTTAATATTTTTTTTAAGAACCTGATATATTGCATATACACTTTATTTGCATTGATGACCCGTAGATGTCTCTTGATTTTTGTATTGTTGCGTCTCATTTACGTATACTGAACATTTTCTGTTATTCATATCTATTTTAAAAGAATGCCCGGATCGAACATATGGAATGAACTGTATACAGAACTGTAGTGTTAATTGTGAGAATGATACATGTGACCACGAGAATGGTTCATGTACCTGCATGGCAGGATATAAAGGGGAAGATTGTACAACAGGTAAAAATACTCATCAAAGACACTAGGCTCATATTTTGTACGCCAGACGCGCGTTTCGTTTACAAAAGACTAATCGGTGATGCTCGAGTCAAATAAGTTAAAAGACCAAATAAAGTACGAAGATAAAAAGCCTTGAGGACCAAAATTTCTGAAAAGGTTAACAAAATACAGCTTAGGTAATTTATCGGTATTCCCACTGTCTGTATCACTCTGATCAGCCCTTCATAAAATTGCATATCACGGCTCAGTGACGTTAAAACGTTAACCAGGCCTTAATTACTTTGATCCGGACATCTCACCGACGTCGTAATGAATAAACCGACGTTGACAAGTTTGACACGAACTTATTTAGTAAACTTCCGGTTTGCTAGTGAAACCAAAAAAAAAATAAATACACTTGTTTCTGTCATGCAAAATACACAAATACAATCATACTGTGACTAGCAGCTGATTAGTACACACTATAATAATATATGGCAAAAATATCTCAAACAAATTTTACAATTGCCGATCGCCCACAGGACTAGAGAACTCATAGAAAGGGCTGATTCAAAAATTGATATGTTTATAAACCTTCATTCTTAGAAACTGAAATTCTTTTATCAAATGAATCTGTAATGTAACCGTCGTTACTTGAATCGGACATTTTGTTTCCTCTTATAGTTGATGTGTTTCCCTCAGTTTTGGTTTGTGACCCGGATTTGTTTCAGTTAAATCGATTTATGACTGTTGAACAGCGGTATACTACTATTGCCTTTATTTAGCGGCAGCCGAATCACCACCAGAACGCTATGAGTGTAAACCTTAGTTAAGATTAGGATCAACTGTTTCCAACGGTTTGCAGTATAATTAAGTTTCTTATTTTTATAGATTAACTTAGCTGCACTTGATTAAAATATGGGTATGAAAACAAAGTGATCGGAATTTATATCCAAATCAGATAAGCCCAAATAACGCGTATACATCAAAACAGGACATGCCTGAGAATTCCCTTTAGAAATAAAAATTCCGTTGCCTTGCTATATGTCACAAAACACAGACATGTATTTATCAACTATCTTAATGTCCTACAAGTTAATGAACTTAATTCGCCAAAACGTAAAAATCCAACATAAGCTATAAGTATCATAGTCAAATCCCAAAGCACTAATGATAAGTCACCAATATGCTGATGCATACTACATATTTCTCTAAGCATAACGTTATCAGCTGGATTATTTTTTTCACGACCGGTTGACCGTTCAACATTTTGCAAGATTCTAATAGAGACTTTAAAATAAATTGATTGCTTGCAGGATCTATGTAACCGTTTAATTCATGAGCCCATTTTATAGAGTAGATTGCAAACTCCAAAACACTTGGTGAAGAATGTTTATCAATACGAAAAGTTAAATATAAAGCTACATGTACAGTTTCAGCTGGAAAATCGAAAAAAACCAATGTTCATTGATAAACCACTTCCAACGATTAAAGCCGGCGAAGTACTTCTTTTAGAATCAACTATATAAAAAGCCATTTTTCTGCCAAAGTTCTCAACACATTGTTTGTTTCCAACACCACTGCTCTCCACGGCGTTATCTACGTTCCCTCTCAGTTTTCAACCTAACAAACGAAAGATCCTAACTAAAATCCGATAACTAAAGCAATCATTCTATATTATTTTGATGGTACCCTTTACTACAATTTTTGTTTTTAGGAAATTACATGGCCTCTTTTATAAAATCTCTTAATCTGCCGTTATCATATAAAAGTGGTAAATAAGGAAATTATATCAATTCAGGAATAACCATTTGGCTTTGTCATTTATGATCTTCTTTATAGTCGTGCCAACTAATGACGGAGGTGGCGCTTGCCGATTAGTGTCACCTCCCCAAAATTGATTAAAAACGTTAATTATCGTTTATCATTAGTAACTGGGCACCAAATTCTCGAATTTAAGCGAGATCACTGTGCATTGTAATTAGTACCAAATCTGTAAATAGTAAAAGGACCAAACTGACAACTAAGATTACGGGAAACATTCCTTTCAATACTCAAATCATCAGGATCAGTGTGTCTGCTTAATTGATCAACATGCTTATTTGTAGTTCTTGGTACCCAATGTGTTTGTAAACCTATGCTCTTCTTCGAGCAAGATTTGTGAATATCTGTTACGAACTTCTGTATTTTTTGCTCCTCACCTTGTCACATTCTCATTATCAGAATTCCATTTAACTGTTCTGTTTTCAAGAATAGAACCATATATATTCAAAACTCTTCTTCCCGTCTCTTACTCACACCAGGTAGAACTTTCAAATTGTTTACCGCAAACCAATCCTCATAAATCTCGTGATTTACATTCTGAAAATCCAAAATTGTAGAAAATATCCATCGGAGCCTACATCTGAGGCGTCACAAAATAACGCAAAATGATAAATGTTGGATACATTAACCGAAAAAATATCAACTATACAATACTATAAGTGTTTGCAAGAGGTTTTTTTTACAAAAACAGAGCTCATCAATAGATTCAACTGTTATTTTAACAGGTGCATTCCAGCTAGCATACGCTTGAACACAATCATATAAAAGTTGTGTGCCAAATCTTGCAATATCACCAAAAAGGATTTGCACAAAAAATCAGCTGACCTATAATACTGGCCAATATTCGAGCACTGAAGAAAAGAACCCCCTTTACAAAAATCGCTTAAAATACGATTTGCAGCTTTTTCTGCTTTGTCAATTCTCTCATCACTATCAAAATTTTACTATCTTTGTGTCCCAAATATAACCTAACCATTTCACACTCTGTGAAGGGACCTAGATACATTTTTCATGTGCAATCAAAAATCATGTTAACTACATGTGGAACTTGTTGTACGTGTTAAATACATTTTTTTTCTGTAAATAAAGGCAACAGTAGTATACCGCTGTTCGAAATTCATAAATCGATTGAGAAAAAAACAAATCCGGGTTACAAACTAAAACTGAGGGAAACACATCAAATATAAGAGGAGAACTACGACACAACAGAAACACAACATTAAAATGTAACACACACAGAAACGAATTTTAATATAACAATGGCCATTTTCCTGACTTGGTACAGGACAAATGGTGGGTTGAACCTGGTTTTGTGGCTAACCAAACCTCCCGCTTTTATGGCAATGTTAAATATAACATTAAAATGACAACATTACATGACAGGACTACAATATAAATAAATGTAAAAGATTGCTAATCTCAGCTTGAACAAATATCTTATTGTCTAATGAAGATTTGTTATTTTTTATTACAGCTTGTTGGTGCTCAGTTTTGAATGGTATTTTATTACCATTTCCAATCAAATTAATAATCAATTTCCATAGAGTGACTATATTGACCTTAAGCCCACCAACTGGCGAGACGCACTCCTGCTGAACGATTGTTTGCGTATCAATATACATCAACGTCTGAGCAATTTAACAGTACTCACTTCTGTGTCAAGATTATTACTTGAATTATTAGCTAGAGGCACACAACTGCCATGTTTTACATTAGTATTATCAAAAATTTTAATTTGTGAATAAGTATTAGTTATCTTATTTTTCCAATCTGGACATTCGTCTACTCAATAACCCTATTTCTACATTTAAAACACCGTCCAGATTTGGTTTCTTTCTCTGGGTTCCTGCTATGTTGGTCGTGCTTTGCCTTTCTGAACTTTTTCCGCCTTGCTCTTTCTTTCTGCTCTAGACTGCGCTCTCGTCATTTTGATTTCGTCGACTCAGTCATCAGCGATAGATTTAGCAACGTACTCGGCAACGACGTTCCATCCAAGTTGGGAAGAGTCGGCCTGTTTTATAAATTTTTGCCTTTCATGCACTAAGTCAATACCTTCCATAATCTTCATCTTTGTCTGCACAGATTATATTCCCAATTCTGGAACTTCCAGGTTAGCTTCAGCTTTCTTTAGGTTGGTTAGTACTTTCACGTCGTTTTGATACTGATTTCCATTTCCTTTCCGCTGAAAACTGTAATTGTTAGTCATTGTTTCCTCGATCTTGGCTATCTGAGTTTGGGAAATATCATGTTGTGATTGTTGCAGGTTTGTCTGTATAGATGAAACTGCATTTTTCACCTAGCGTTATATATCAGTTTAAATTCAATTGTCTAACCCGGTGTTCATCTTGTGAAGTTGGAAGTTCGCAAGATAATCGTCTAAATTATGGAAATTAACCCGCGAAAAATTACCAGTCACGAGATATAACATCAAGTATATATGTATAAATGAATGAAGGGTTAGTACAAAATTTTTCCTCTATACTTCGAAACGTGGAAACTTATAAATAACTGATTACAGTTAGACTTGGAATTAAAAAAGAAATACGTACAACTGTCGGACAGGTAAGGTAATAACTCATTGCTGTGAGACTAGTTACAAATATAGCTCAAGTACAACTATAATACAACAGGGTTAATGTGTAACTAGTTGGAGACATAATCTGTCAAAGAATATTAATGCACGATTAGTCATTCAAGGTTTTGGAAATACAACAATGAAAATATTTGATGTTTTCAATAAACAATGTCCATGAAAACAAACTGGATACATTAAACGAAATTGTTTTTCGTTTTCTCATTAATCGAATTCCTGCGAAATTTCTTTGTAGAATGTGAAAGTGGAAAATATGGAAAAAATTGTATGTTTCACTGTGGAATGTGTTTAAATCAAGAAACTTGTGAAAAAGTGAATGGAAAATGTCCATCTGGCTGTGAAACAGGATATAGTGGCGAAACATGCAATCGCAAGTATCATACCATCCCCCTTTCTTTCATTATTGACTGATCCAATCCCTTCATATAAGACTACTAATAGATACTAATAGATATTAGAAGATGTGGTATGAGTGCCAATGAGACAACTCTCCATCCAAGTAACAATTTGTAAAAGTAAACCATTATAGGTCAAAGTACGGCCTTGGCTCACACCGAACAGCAAGCTATAAAGGGCCCCAAAAAGTTATAACGCTAAATAGTTAAGACCATACACTCTTCGCCTCAATTAAGGTGGGTTGGTGGAGCATCATTTAAATCGAGCATTGAAAATTATATACACTGTAAAGAGAAGGAAAGGAAAACAAATTGTCAACTGAAAAAAAAGTATTACATACCGATACTGAAAATGCTATGGCAAAACACGAAAAACGATCAAAAAGACACAAACAGTATATAAAGCACAACAAAGAAACTAAAGACTGAGCGACACGAACCCAACAAATTACTGGGGATTGACTCGGGTGCTCCGGAAGGGTAAGCCGATCCTGCTCCACATTGGCACCAATCGTGTTGCTCATGTAAGTACAAATCATGTGCTCAATCTAATTCGGTACGTCGTATTCGAGGAAAGGAGGACGGGATTGTGGTTACAATTGGAACATATCCGTTGTCATCTGTGAAAATAGATATTCCATAACGGTCAACCAACTCGTGATGTCGTCCTTTAATTTTTTCGAAGGGACGATTTCAACGTAACCATCGGAACTCTTGGTTTAAAAGCTTCCTTGTAAGCAGCAACCGTCTATAAATGAAATCATGATATGAAATGCATGCTGTGGAATATCGTATCATCTTGGAGATATCTACTCCATATGTAGGCGCTGCTAAAATTTTGCTACATAGAAATGTAAAGTTAACAATTGGCAAGCTGAAATCATCTCTTTTGTAGTAAAGTCTTGTTCTCAACCGACCTTCATTGTCAATTTCTAGATAAAATTTAAGAAATAAGGAAGACTTAATTAGCTGTGTCTGTTGTATATTTTACTTGAAGTTCGATGGGATATATTTAGTGAGAGGACATTCTCTGTATAGCGGAACGTGAAGTTAAAGGATAATTCTAGTTTCTTTTCATCCTTGTGAAGAAGCTAATGTGTGAATTTGCCTAATATAAAAATAAAGGACTAAGTCGGCAAGAAGAGGAGCACAGTTGGTTCTAATGGAAATGCCAACTGTTTGTTGAAAAACACGTCATGCAAACATAACAAACAACATAACTGACTATGCGATATTGGCTTTGCTCATTGTTGAAGGCCGTACGGTGATCTATAGTTGTTAATTTCTGACAAAAGAGATGATTTCAGCTTCCCAATTGTGAACTTTCCATTTCTCTGTAGCAACATTGCAGTAGCGCCTGCATACGGAGTATATATCTCCCAATTGATACGATATCCCCGGGCTTGTGTTTCCTATCATGATTTCCTTGATAGATGATTGCTGCTCACAAGGAAGCTATTAAACCACGAGTTCCAAATGGTGAAGTTGAAGTCATCCCTTCGTTAATTTTACGGACGCCATCACGAGTTGGTTGACCGTTATGGAATAACCGTTTCACAGATGATATCGGATATGTTCCTTATGTCGTAACTACAATACCCACCCTTTTCACGAATGTGACTTATCGAATTAGACTATTTACCGGATTTGTAATAACATAAGTAACACGACGGGTGCCACATGTGGAGCAGGATCTGCTTACCCTTCCGGAGCACCTGAGATCACCCCCAGATTTTGGTGGGGTTCGTGTTGCTTAGTCTTTGGTTTTCTATGTTGTGTCATCTGTACTATTATTTGTCTGTTTGTCTTTTTATTTTTGGCCATGGCGTTGTTAGTTTGTTTTCGATCTATGAGTTTGACTGTCCCTCTGGTATCTTTCGTCCCTCTTCTGTGTCATTTGGTCTCTTAAAGAGAGTTGTCTTACTGGCAATCTTACCACGTCTTCTCATTTTTATATCTCGATAATGTCAGTTTCAGTGATCTTTTTGTTTGTATTGAGTGGGTTTTTTTTACAAAGAACGATTTGTCCCTCACTTAGAGAAGATACTTGTACCTACGTTAGCTATTTTTTTTAATGAAACAAAGCAGGACCAATTCTTTTAATGTGTCTTTATGTTTGAAATTGGGAGTACTTGTGTAAACGGTCGAAAAGTCGACTGATTTAATGCTATTGCAAGAAAAAAGAGACTTAGGTTGTATGTTCTCTAACAGATTTTGTGAATTATGGCGGTAAAAAAAATGTGCGACTATAGATTAGACATCAACAACAATGCAAATGACACTATTTATCAACATTTTAATCAGTTTGATCAATAAATCCTTTTAATGCTCTTCAACTTCGTATTTTATTTAGACTTCTTATTTTTTTTATTCGAGTGTCACTGATAAGTCTTTTGTAGACGAAACGCGTGTCTAGCGTACAAAATTTCAATCCTGATATCTATGTTGAGTTTTTTTCTTTGCGAGTTCTCATCACCGAAAAATTATATCACAGGACTAACAATACTCGCCTTGCAGCATCTCTCCATATGCAAAAGGAAAACTACTAGTGCTTGATTTGATAACTGGGAACTGTGACACTCTACGGTTACAATGACAAAATTAATTGTATATGTATACTATTTTGTCTCTCCTGTAGTTCTGTGAATTTGATTTGTGTTTTTCTAATCATTGGCAGTATCCATCATTTACTGTTCATGATGTCTTCATTAATTACCTTCTGCAATTTATGAAGAAGCCATCAAATACTTGAAACTAAATACTTTCTTCGAAACTTCATTCTCTGTACAACTTATGGTTAGAAACCACTGTTTCAAATCCCCATTCAAACCAAAAGCTATCATATCGGATATTACCCTCCATGATATTTTAGACCGCTTAGCATTGGAAACGACATAATCTAGAAACCATCTGGTGTAAAACACTTTCTTTCTTATTTTAATAATCAGTCTGCTCCCATCATTTATACCTAAAGCAAACCTACTCGTACTACAGTTTTAAACTACAAACACGTGTTGCAGGATCTCAGTATTGACGACTTCGGGTCTACCTGGTCAACTCATTGATTGCACATGTGCTAGGCCCCATTTATATATAATGGGACTGGCCATGTTATTACTGGTGAACTAAAATCCATAAATTGAAAACACTATTTTGAAATATTAATGGATTCAGTCGAGTATTATGCCAGCCGAGAGTTAAATGGACGACGTAGATAATCTTTCCGTAGACAAAGTCCAAAACAACATTGTTTTAGTATGTAAATCACATTAAATAAACTGCTTGATAAAAGGATTATCTATTGAGACATCGCCTGGAAACTCATATACTCCTTGACACTTATCAATGAGGAAATCATGACCTGTTATATGATCCTTTGGAATTTCAACCAAAGATGAAAAAAAAACTGTGTCTTCCTTCACTGTACTAGAACAAAATTTGTCTATACAATAAAACGTTATGTATCTGAAAAAAGCTACACGAAACCTCTTTCCAAATAATGATCATCTATGTTACTAGCAGTCAGGTTGGACTTCAGCAATATCTTTAAGCTTCTACACACTCTATGTTTTTTTTCCTCTTGCAAAAGTATACAAGACATTCAACTTCTGTGCCATTTACACTGGTATTCCTAAATCTAGTCTTAAACAGATTTAAAGAATGAGTCCGAATTTGTTTCATAAAAGAGAATACATAACCACAATAATGTCTGTGAGTGCATGGCTTAGGCATTTAATGTATAACATTTTTTGTTTTAGATTGTGAACAAGGAAAATATGGTAAAGACTGTAAACTTTCTTGTCCTAATTGTGAAAAACAAATGTGTAATCCTGATACTGGAGCCTGCACTCACGGATGTACACCGGCGTATACTGGACTCGACTGTAAAACAGGTATAATCTGATTTGATATGTATGTTATCGCTGTGTTTCTTTCGGCAGTGTCGAAAAGCTTCTTTTATAAAGACTGGAACGATTATAAGTACCCGATTTGTAAACTTCAAGGAGCGTAACACTATCCATATACCAGGCCTTTGATTTAACGCCGGAATCCGTCACTAGTTTAATATGCAATTTATTCATCACTCCCGCCTATGTCCCTTCCAGTTATAAGAATACATTAACGATGAATATTGATTGGGGTGGTTTGTTGAAAATAAACCTCAAGAGGGTGACATGCAAGTTTTTTGCATATCCTCGTAATATTCAACTAAATTTCTAAATCTATTGTCTATAAACATACATACATGTATACCTATGCGTCCATGATCGTATATCACACACCTTGCCATGTAGTACCGTCCCTTTTTGCCTTTTGCAGTTAAGATACATATTATCATTGTTTTTATTTTGTCTAAAATGTCTAATATTGTAGAATGCTCATTTAATGGAAATCAAAGATCTTCTTATTTTACTATACAATATGGAGGTTTTGGCATTTTTTTGGCATGCAATATCCACAGGACACAATTTTACCCCTCTCTATATTTTAGTATGGGAGTGTTACATAATTTATAACTTTATCTTTACTATGATTAACATAATGCATACATCAAAAGAGAGTCAAATTATAAGAAAATCTAGTACCACTATAAACTCAAGAACGGTCTACAGTAAAACAGATTGTCTCCAAAATATACTTTATAGATACCAGTGACCCTATAAACAAGTTCTGTTTGTGGACGAAATGTTAGGTACATGTATAATAAGTTATATCCTTAACTCGCTCTGTTCAAACGAACATAACTTATTTATGTGCTAAACACGTCAAAATTTTTGTATAATATACATATATGAGAACGTCCAGATGTGTATACTTTTATTGATAAGACATGATAACGAACTAAATTACTTATTTTGTGTACTGTTAGGCGCAATGATAATCACATTTTAATTACAACTAGATCATGAGATAATTTACAATATATATATATGTAAATTGCAAAACTGTACTCATATGAACCAAACAACAACTGATATACATAAATGTCTCTAATAATAAACATTGCATCTCCGATCCGATATAAAAGACTGCAATCAATAAATCTACAAAATATATACAAATATATTAAATCTTTGTATAATCAAATAAAAATCATAATACAACGTTACAAAAACTAAACTTCAAAACATTCTGTAGTAAATGTTTTTACGAATTTAAACTTCAAACTACAAAAACGATAGATGTGCAACACTGGTCACTACCCAAACATCGATAATAAATTTCGTGCATATTTTCTTTATATACGGACCGACTAAACCGATTTACTTTTACCTTGAAAACATAATCGGCTAAACTCTTTCAAAAATTATTACGCTAACTGCACATAAATTGATAGTTGCTTAGGTTATTTTCTTTGCTTTTTGATAATAGATGTGATGACATATGAATAAAAAAATGAAACAAGATACCATTTGCCCGAAAAAAAAGTCTTCTCAGTTTTAACGTCTGGACAGCAGCAAGAAAATATAATGTTTCAGAATAATTCTATTTCAGTTTTAAAGTCTGGACAGAAGCAAGCCAATGCCAATAGTTCAACCATCATAGCAGTGATAATAGTACTTGTTATACTTATAGTAGTTGGACTAGCAGTGGCATGCATATTATGGTATCGTATACATTTCTAACAGAATGTCTTATGACATGTTGTTTTACCACTCGCTAAATAAGTAGGGTGAAATTTTGAATTTTATTTTCAATATTAATTGCGTCAGTTGTCAGGTTGATGCAATTGCATCCTGAAGGAGCACTTCTTAAATTTGATCTAGCTTTTTTGCTGTGGTAGGACAATTCGCAATTAAACAGAAATACTACTGTCCAAGAAATATATTAGTCTTTGAACTTAATCCTTTACAAATAAAACGTTTTCACGTGAAAGGAAAAGTTTACCGAAAACTTTTATTTTCTGTTCCTCCAAAGATATTTTTATTGTTTTTTTAGGTTGGAGTATCGTTTGATCCCTAAAATTGCTCCCGAGTAGTGAGGCTTGCCGTGTTTTTATCCTGTTTTGTAGTGACTACTGATAAAATAATTTTTTTTCCGACAATGTTTTTATATTGCTTTTATCCTGCATTAAATGTTCAATTTTTAACATTCCATGTCGTTCAGTAAATAGTTCGACTTATTGCTCAGTCGCAGAATGCGAAAAGGCCACCAAAATGAACTGTGACATACTCATTAATTTGAATGTAACCATTCGCTCGTAACAGAAGAAGGACACCAATCCAGGATACTATCGCTTCATGTTATTCGTGTTAAAATAGAAAATAGTCGATTACAGAATGAATTATTTCGACGCTGTGATGTCAAAAATACAAAATTGTGCCTCTAGCGATATATTATATAGAATTGAAAAGTTGTTTCATTGGTTTGTTTTAGTTTTAGTAGTCTTTTTTGTGTTTTTGTGTTTGTATTTTATTTTGTTATACATTTTTTTTATTCATTGGTATTTTTTTGTTATTTTTTAACTTGATTGAAATGAATCAGTCATTGACAACCATTAATAAATAACCCAAAACTTCTGTAAAATACATATGTTGGTGAACCATTTAAAATATTGTTTAAATACTGTATAAAGAGTCCTGAAATTTAGTCTGACAGTCCGACACAAATAAAAAGGTCAGTGTTTTTTACATAAGTAATAAAAAAACGTGAACTTAAATAGACAGATAGCTCGAGAATGGAGACAGTTACCTCGAAAAAAATAGACAGATACCTACACAAATTTGACAGATACCTAAACAAATTAGACAGAAACCTCGAAAAAACTAAAATTACGTAGAGATATATAGTCATCGTAATAATCTTTTATATAATCATCTCATTCTTTAATACAGATATTCCCATGCTAACTTTTTAGCTGTGAAAAGATAAATTTTGACCAGAAAATTAAATATCTATTTCGAAGAAAACAAAACTTTTCGAATAGAGAAAATCTTATCCCCGGTTCATTGTATTTAATATTTACTGTTAATTCCACACTATTATACGGAATTTATATCTTTACATCTTTTGTGTTATTTGGTAAACTATAACGAGAATGATTAAAATATCTATGGCATACATTATTCATTGCATTGTCCTATTTCTACAATAGGAAAAGGAATCAGGAAGGTTCTTATGTTATGGACGAAAAAAATGCAGACCAAAACAATATATCTGAATTGGAACTACAGGCGGTTCATGCAGAAGATGAACCTTTAGTTGCTGTAACACCTACTGGTAAATTAGATGTTGATACAAAGCTTAGCAAAAATAAACCATTTTTCCAATACTTCTGGTCTTTCATACACATTCTAACAAAACAAATATAAGATACGAATGTCATATACGTGTATATTAATGTATGATTAATAAAAAAGGTACAAAAATATCATTATTTTTTTTTATTATAAAGGGTTAATTCATACACCTGATATGGTAGCGAATATTTGAATAACATTGCACTCAAATGTGCATTTATTCAGTTCAATTATAATATGAAATGCATTATAACTAAAACAAAATTTGAAGGCCTGTACGACTAAATTTTAGAACAAATAAATTCGATGGTGGTATCTATTTCAGTTAGAAAAGTTTACTAATAAAAACAATTGTAATAGGATAAATTATTAAGATGTAAAAACAAATGTTGTCTCATGTGGTCATATACATATTATTTACAAAAGCTCTTGAAAGAGAAACATAAGATACCAAAGGGATATTTAAACATAAGTTGAAGATACACTGTCAATGTCATGGCAAAAAAAAAAAACGACGAAAAGAGAAGTAATCTACCAAACACAACATAGAAAACTAACGATTGGGCAACACAAACCAGGGGTTTCAGAAAGGTAAGCAGATCCTGCTCCACATGCGGCACCCGTATTTTTGCTCATGTAAATACGAATTCGGTGATAAGTCTCATTTGGTAATTTAATATAATTTGAGCTGTAGATATCAAAATGGCTGAAACAGAACCATGATATTGTCAACTAAGCTATTTAAGTTGAACGATTTTATTTCCAGAGGCTATTCTATTAAGCTTATGTAAAAAGAATTCACAACATGCAAAAAGGTGACCACGTTAATAGTTTATGATATAAGCCTACTCTTTAATATTTTCTCACATCAAAATAATAACTGTATTAAAGATAATTCTTAGGTTAACTCTTTGTAGATAAGAACTTCCCGGACGCGAAGCTTGTCATTGAAAGTGAAGGTGGTAACCAAGAAGAAGATGACAAACAGCAGAGTGATACCACAAGGTCAAGTAAGGCTAGTGACTTCCGTCCAGAGAGTATTCATGGTAACGGTCCAGGAGGCGTTTATGTCGGCACAGCCGAAAACGGTGCTACTCAAATTGAAACTAACGACAGTTCGGAAATATCGGAATGTGAGACCACTGAAGACAGCTCCGAAAAAGATAGACAGCAATCTGAACCAATAAGCATTCAGGAATCTAGAAAGGAAGATACAACGCAGTCTGGCGAAAATAGTGCCCAAGGTATTTCAGCAAGCGACAACCAACAATCTTTAGATGACCAGAATGAAAATACTTCAAAGGCAAGTGAAAAAGGCCAGGATTCAAATGAACGATATGAAACTGTCGAGAAACTAGACATGAATAAAGAAGAACCTGTAACCACAGTAGATAATAACGGTGTAGTAAATACCGATCAGTTGTAACATTGTTAATATTTTCTTTATACATATGTAAATAAGCATAAATTAAAAAAAAGAAATAGACATGCTGTGGTCCCTTTTAGTCATATAACTCGTATTCATGCATCCCTGGTTTACAAATGTTTAGTTTTGAACTTTCCTGGTAATGGTAAATCTAGAAAAGCGTTTCGGATACATTAAACTAATTAAGTTTTATTTTCATTTACCACCATTTGGTCGATACCGCTGCTGGTGGAATGATGGTATCGACAGTATCATCAGCTATGACTCAGTGCTTTGGCACTTATATGATTTATATCAACTATTTGATATTTCCATGTTGATGAATTTTAAATTATATCAAGAAATAATGTTCAAGCTCCATCAAGAAAATTTGACTTATTAAAGATGAAATTAACTAATATATGTATGTCCCTTTAGGTTGTAAAGCAATCCCTGGTTTTCAATATTCCAGTTTGAGTGTTGCTGATGAAGGTGTATCCAGAAACGCGCACAGACGCTGGAAATATATGGGCATGTTGCGGTACCTTTTGGTCATAAAACACCTAACGTTTTTACGTCTTTTTATGAATCTTTAATTTTCAAATGATTAGTTTTGAGCGCTCCTGGTGAAAATGAATCCAAACACGCGCTTCTGACGCTAGAAATTTATAAAGTGTCATTTTGGTTGAACAACATAATCAATCAGGTTTTTGTGTTCTTTTTCTTAAACTTTAATCTGATGTGTGCTTTATAATAACAAACTATTGCTAGTTTTATTACTGATTTGAATTCAACCTTGTACTGTACTTTAGTATATCCGATTATTTCAAATCTATATCAATGGATATCGAATTCCAACCATGCAAAACCATCCAGAAACAATAATGACAATCACATAAACAATTTGACGATTCCCGTCGCAAAATGTCATGGTTTTAACGACTGCAACTTCATATCCTCTCGGTCTAATTGATATGAACATATACAAAATTTCCTTTGTTGACATTATGAAAGTTGCGGATAATTAAATAAAATTCGAGAATGGAAATAGGGAATATGTCAAAGAGACAACAACCCGACCAAAGAGCAGACAACAGCCGAAGGCCACCAATGGGTCTTCAACGCAGCGAGAAAATCCCGCACCCGGAGGTGGTCCTCAGCTGGCTCCTAAATAAAATTGTGTACTAGTTCAGTGAAAATGGACGTCACACTAAACTCCGAAACATATAAATAAATTGACAACGTAATAATTGATCTAATGACAAACGTATCAGTCGAAATCAACGAGTTAAAAATCTATAAATTATACACTAAATATTCGCTTTTCTATATTCAAAAACAATGGATGACCCTAATTATTATGCAGCTTGTTCAAATACCGATTCATGTTACATGTATTTTGAGTGTGATACAGTTTTACTTTTTTTTCAACTCTATGAATGTACGTAAATTGTTGCAACTTTTTTCATCATAGGCTGTTCCCGCGTGTCGATAACCCTGAAGATCATGAACGGTATTTTTCTTAAAATTAAGTATATTAACATAGGTATTGATTTTATTAACTAGTCTATTTCATTTAATGACTTTTTCATCAATAACAAAATCCAGCATCTTGATAATGTCAGTTTCAGAGAACATTTTGTTTGATTACGATTAATTTTTACAAGTTACGATTTATCCCTCCCTAAAACAAGATATTTGAATCTGCGTTGGCCATTCCTTTTTATAAAACGAAGCAGGAACTGTTCTTTTAATTTGTCTATTAGTTTTGAATGAGGAATACTTGTATAAAGTGTAGATAAGTCAAACGTTTTAATACTTTTGAAAGATGGAATAGATTTAGATTGTATGTACTCCAACAGATCTTATGAGTTTTTTTTATTATCAACTTCTGATTCATGCAGTCCCTAGAGTACAATAACTTTAAAAGCCCGACTTTAATTGCTGATACAATTGATGTTAATAAGATAGAAAAAGGATTTGTGGAGCACTTGGAAGACCCAGCAATGTAACGTTGTTTTTGAGGACACTTTTATGTCATTTATGTACGGTGACCTATAGTTGTTATCTTCTATGTCGTTTGGACTCTGGTGGAGAGTTGTCTCATTTACAATCATACCAAATCTCCTTTTTTATATTCAATACAGTGAAGGAGGATCCAGTTTTTCATCTTTGTTCGAAATTCCAAAGAAACATAGACCAGACCTGTGATTATTCAGGGTTTCTCCCGTGGTAAGTTTCGTGGGGTTATACATGTATATGTTGAGGTTCCGAGTGAAATGTCAATACCTTATTCCATTATCAAGCAGTTTAAGTGAGGGCTTTATCTTCGGGGACATTGGGTCATTACAGTTTGATGTAGCATGTGTTTTCATAGACCCATTCAGTTTTTAAATACTAATTTGAATCAACGACCTCACTGCCATAACCCATTCGGAAAGAGTATATACGTCTTCTTTTTTGAGTTCAGCCCATTTCCTGGCATCGATCTCGACTGAATCCATCAGTATTTTGAAGTTGTGTTTCCAATTGAAGGCTTGAGGCTTACAGTATTTCGGGCCTACTATATTTCGCATAGAAGTGTTATTGCAAATGTTTCGGTCATTGATAAAACCATGGCCAGCCGGATTATAAATGAATGGGGAACTAGCACAGGTGTAATGAGGTTTAGACTTGAAGTCGTTTTTATTGAGATCCTGCAAAACGTGTTTTTAATCGAAGATTTTACTTGCAATTGGTTTGATATAGATGTTAGAGATGATAGTCACAGAATGATCTTTTAAGTAGGAGGGTATTTTCGAGTGAACTGATTTATGATGAAAGATATTGACCTGATTGATGGCATCGAGACTTTTGTTGGCAATGCAAAGTTTTAGAATGGATGTTTTCACCTTTTCATATTTTTCAATGCGAACCGGTCTGAAAAGTCTGAGACTGGCAATATCCGAGAAGATACATGTAAGTTTGTATTGGTTTGAATGAGGGTTTGTATAACAGTGGTTTCCAGACATACATTGTACAGAGAATGAAATTTTTAAAGTGGTAGTGAATAAATCATCGTGCGAATGTGATGAATACTAACTCATCATAGATACAATTTTGTACGCCTGTCTTTTATTTTTGCTCACACATTGCTGTCAATATAAGACTCATCAGCGACGTTTGAATCAAATGGTTAAAAAGGCCAAATAAAGTTTAAAGTCTGCGTCGAAGAGCAAAGTTGAAAATATTTATCCCATTTACCGCGTTACAGGAAGAAATAGATTGAGTACCAATATCATCAATTTTGTCATTGAAACCTTATGGTGTCGCAGTTTCCAAATCTCTAATCCAGTAGTCTTTGTTTTGTCTACGGAGAGGTGTTGCAAGAAAAGGGTTGTTAGTCCTATTGTATATTTTTTTCGATGATGCAAAGTCGCAAAGAAAATATTTGATGATCAGACTGATTAAAATTCTGGTAAAAATGTCATGTGCATGGCTGTTGATGTCTAATCTATGGCCGCACATACGTTCATTAAGCATTCCTTTCGTTTCACTGACACATACCAATCTGTAAAGGTAACAAATTAAACCGGAGACGAGATGTTTTGATTTACAATTCAAACCATCGTAGCTTTTAGTGAAGTCAGATTTATTTGTTAAATTGCTGGTAAACTGAGCATCTGTTATTAAAATGTTATTGGTTTTGAAGTTTTTATTCACATTTAGAAAGGAGACAGTGTTGTTCAAAGTAATTAAAATCTTAAACATCTTGTAGGAGAACCGTACACAGCCGTGTGTAGAGCTTTGAAAACCGTAATTTCCGAAAAGTTGTGCCTATTACATTTAAGGCAATCTATATCTGATGGTAGAAAACCCTCTGTTTCGAATAGTTCAACATTTTAGATAAAGTAAATTTACAGAAAATAAACATGTCTATGATACTTCCTGTCAAAACTAAAGTGAGTACTACTGGACTAGTGATACCTTCGTGGACGAAACGTCCAACAGCAGTGGCATCGACCCACTGGTTGTAAAAGCGGATTAATGATACCAAACTGTAAACTTTGTACGCCAGACGTGCGTTTCGTCTACATAAGAGACTCCCGAATTGAAAAAATTGGAAAGTCAAATAGGATTCGAAGTTGTACAGATTTAAAATTCGAAAATTCCGAAAAACAGAAAAAAAAAACAGAAAACAGAAACATAGTATTAAAGGAATGACAAATCGAAAATAGCTTTGAAAAAACCTGCATAAATTTCTGAGAAAGGTGTGATAATCCCGGTTTGTTCACTACGCGGTGATCTATGTTAGTGTTTCAAGGTTACATTTTCAGCTCACCGGGGCCCGATAGGGGCCCCATGTGAGCTTATGCCATCACTTGGCGTCCGTCGTCGCCCGTCGTCGTCGTCCGTCGTCGTCGTAAACTATTTTAAGAATCTTCTCTGAAAGTACTGTGCCAAATACCTTCAAACTTAAGCTGAATGTTCCTTAGGGTATCTAGTTTATAAATGTATCCGAAGTTTTGATCCATCAACAAACATTGCCGCCATGGCTAAAAATAGAACATAGGGGTCAATGCAGTTTTTCGCTTATATCTCAAAAACTAAAGCATTTAGAGCAAATCTGACAGGGATAAAAATGTTCAATAGGTCAAGATCTATCAGCCCTTAAATTTTCAGACAAACCGAACAACCCATTGTTTGGTTGCTGCCACTGAATTGGTAATTTAAAAGTTATTTTGCAGTTTTTGGTTATTATCTTGAATATTATTGAAGATAAAGATAAACTGTAAACAGCAAAACTGGTCAGCAAAGTAAGATCTACAAAAAAGTTTAATGACCAAAATTGTCAATTGAGTCTTTAAGGAGTTATTGCCCTTCAAAGACAATTTTACACTATTTGTTCATCATGTTTGCTAACATTTAAAAATTTTCTCCGAAAATACAGGGCCTAATACTTCTAAACTTTAACTGAATGTTCCTTAGGGTAAATGGTTTATAAATTGTATCCGAAGTTTTGATCCATAAACAAACATGGCCGCCATGGCTATAAATAGAACATAGGGGTCAAATGCAGTTTTTGGCTTTTATCTCAAAAA